GACTTATTTGTTGGGTGGTTTGCACCCACACTAATTACAACAGAGAATAACCTGCAGAGATGAAAGAGCAGCTCTGGTGGACCATCTGGTGAGCGTTTTTAGACACGGCCCTTGCAGTCATGTACTGGTTTGTACCTGCTGTCCCTGTTTTTCAGAGTTTGTGCCAGGACAGGAAAGAAAAAAAAAATTATTCATAGGATTAAAACTGGTGCTTAAATTAAAGCAACGGTGCCAAATCCCTGCTGAACTAAAATGAGGGTTTACACCTCAGATGTGCTGTCTGAAACCAAGTTAGAAAAAAAACATACAGAAAAGTGACCTAAAAAGCAGGAAATTGTTCCAGTAAACACGTGAATGTGTGAAAGCTTTCTGCAAGTCATATGAATATAACACTACATAAAGCATTGATATGTGGCTTATGAGACATTATCATGTGCCTGCAACTACAAATCAAGAGTATTTGTCAGAAAACTATAACAAATGTTGAGCCATCCAGAGCTGATATATAAGAGGCAACGAAGAGTTTAGCGATTGGTTTATTTATTAAATGAGAGTAAATAGGTTAATTATTGACATGGGCTCAAATATAACCATCCATCCATCATCTATACACGGCTTAATCCTCACTATGGGGGGCTGGAGTCTATCCCAGCTGACTCAGGGTGAAGGCAGGTTCACCTGGACAGGTAACCAGTCTATCACAGGGCTACACTTAGAGACAGACAACCAAGCACACTCACATTCACACCTACGGACAATTTACAATCACCAATTAACCTCAACATGTTTCTGGACTATGGGAGGAAGCCAGAGAACCCGGAGAGAACCCACGTTGCACGGGGAGAACATGGAGACTCCACGCAGAAAGATCCCGGGTGTCCTCACCGGGACGCGACCCGGCGACCTTCTAGCTGCGAGGCAACGGTGCTAACCACCGATCCAACTTTGCAGCCCCAAATATAACCAAAGTCTTTATAAATATGAAAAGATGAGCTGTTAAATATGATTACAGTGACGTTGTACTGCTTGCATTCATTAACTACTAACACTGGGTTCTTCCTAAGTTAAGAAATTAAATGACATTAAACTGAACCTTTTTAAACAAATTACATCTTATTGTGATAAGAATTAATTTTTCCTTTGTTTAAATACTGATTATAAATGCTAACTATGAGGTTAAATAAATAACATCATACAGTGTGGTTGTGACATAAACAGTTAATGTATGTTTTCATGAAGATGAATAAACATAATTATGACATTAATATAGCAGCAAAATCTATCTGCTATGTAAAGAGTTAGTGGAGGAATGGTGTCCTTAGCAGAAAATGAAGTTATATTTTGTGTTTGTGTTGTAATCTGAGCTCCTCTGTTCTATGTTTGGGATAAATGGTGCATCTTAGTGAGTCCGTCAGCTTGAAACTGTTGGCTCTCTGTAGCTTGTGAATAGATTGAGGGTGACGTCACACTGTAAAAGTAAAGTTGTAGTCCTGAGCATTCAACCACCATGTATTTTTTTCCCCTAACTGATGTACACTCAGGTCAGTGTGAGAGTTTCTGCTGCTGGTTTGAGGCTCTCTTCTCCTTCTCTGATGTCCTTTTGTTCTGCTCCAGTCTGTGTACGTCTGTTTCCACCCACAGGTTCATGTTGGACACATGGAGCAGAACAGACGAGTGAAGCGACAACAGCTCATTACAGCCTTTCATTGGACTTTACAATGCCACCATTGGTTAATCATCATTTTTCTTAAATGTTGTGTTGTTTCTCGATTGATTGGTTAATGAAAGTGAGGGGACGGGCCGAGGCGTGTCCAGCGCGGGATTTGGTCTGAGACGTTGGTGCTCTAGTGACATCCGGTGGTTCTGGATATCGCACACAGAACCTTTTAGGCTTTTATTAAACACAGAAATAAGGCCAAAAATGAGAAGTCCGCTGATGACCTCTGTGACAAATTTCCACGGCACGCTGAACAACTTAATTCATTCTGCCTCCTTTTGTTTTACGAGCAGACGTTTGATATATTACAGCAGAAAAAGCAGGTCAAATTAAAGTCAAAATTATTGGCTGGGATGAAATGCAGCCATTCATAATGATATTAATTATACCTGTCCAGTTTTTGGGCCTTGATATTCTGCACGGTGGCTCGCTGGGACACATAAAGGACACAGCTTCAGGTGCTAATGTTATTGGTTAAACCTGCGTTTTCCTTCTAGGACAAGAAAACACCAACCCAGTGATGTGAAGATACCGTTTACAGTTTGTATTACAGATTAATTAAATGGGACTTAGACGCTTTTACATGCAATTTAAATGTCTCTCTTTAACCACAGTGAGATGTCAATATAAAACTTTGATATACGATAGAAGTAAATTGCCTCTAACAGCTGAAAATATTGAGCTCCATGATTATAAACTATGGTCACAATATTGTAGAACCAATACAATGTGGTTATAGCATCAAAACCTGTATTTTTCTACATCAGTGCTGACTGATTTTTAGCATCCTGCAATAAAGTATTATTATTAAGAGAGCAAAATTCATACTGTTTTTCCGAGAAAACTTTTTAAACCTTTATTCTAACCACTATGTCTGACAATGTAGGACTTCTACAAGAAAGCTGACGTTCATGTGATTCATATGGGTTGTATACTTGACTGCCATACTCATGTTTTCTAAAACAAAAACTGTCCTGCCACTTACTGCTGCTCTCTCTCTCTGCTCTGTTTCTGCTACTCAAGCAATTATAAGAATTGCGTAATTTGCTCGTACAGTTTACCTCAAAGGAAGCTGGAGGCTCGTATGCTGTATCTTCTGTCGGCTTCATTACGAGCAGGCTTGTTGCTGCTGCTGGAGTTTGCACACAACAGCGATCCAAAGCTGCCGGCATCATCCAGCAGATGGAGTCCTTAAACTGCAGATGCATCCCGTCCATGCTGTTAGCTCAGCCCTCGTGAAGTTCATCTGCAAAACAGGAATAAACAATAAGATCAGTCATTTCTGCACGATAAAAATACTCAATTTAAATTAAAGGTATGCTCTGTGTGCAGGTCTTTAATCCCTGATGTTTACAACAGGCTAGTAAAGTTCGTTATTGTCACCTTACGCTGGCAGGAAATGAATTTGCACTTCGAGCTGCACAGATAAGCAGTGGAGCAGTGGATTGCTACAATAAGTAAACATGTATGTTGAAAGGTGGTGGGGACAAATGGAGAACATCCACCTTTTGCAAGTCATATGAATATAACAGCTCATAACCTGTTGATATATATGGCTTATGAGACATATTCATGTACCTGTAAGCAGAAATGAAGACAGTTTAACCAGGCTGTTTGTCAGGAACTTTAATATGTGACTGTGCATCCAGAACTGAACAGATAATTAAAAGGTTATTAATTTTTTGATTTCTAAATCATTCTAAAACATTTATTAACAGTTTATAGTCGTGTGCAAGTCATTAATAGGCAGATTTGTTAATAAATGTTAGTTGTAGTGCGTGCATCCATCAACTATTTACATGGAAGTCTTTATAACTTATAGTTGTTAAGATATACATTTAAGTGAACCCTTAAAATCGGATTGCATTGCCAGAAATTTGCTTACAAGTACTTACAGCTACATTATAATGTGTTCAAGCATTTCTTCTTTTTTATGTTCATATACTGGCTATAAATGCTGAAAATAAGGTTAAAATAAATAACATCATACAAATGAACTGTAATATGTACTTCTCGCATGCACAAATGGCATTTTCCCCCCTTCTTTATATATATATATCTTTTAGTTACAACCCAGCTTTATTAAACAACAACCCAGCAGCGGATAGCACCAACAAAGAGAACATACAAACTGCGGTAAGTTATAATCAAAATTATTCTGCAGAATTACACAAAGAAACAAAAAAAATAAATGACGTGATTAAATTTGATTAAAAGACTCTCCTTGTTGTAATTTTAGTTAACGCTCTTGTAATGTAAATCTAAATTGAAGTATTAAAAAAAACAGTAAAAACACAAGTATATGGGTTCAAGTACGTTACGGCAAGAACGAAGGACAAATTAGCAAGAACCGCGCAAGTGTCACTTTGCTACCAGAGGCCATAAAACTAGAGATATGCCACCGTCAATAAACAGAAGAGGGGTAACCGCCATAGCGCCATTACCGCCTAGAAACACTAGCCTAGCAAAGATGGCGTCGGCCAATTTTTCCGACTTGCGTCTTGTCGGTTGCCAGACTTTCTGCTCTACTCTCTGTCGATGCGAGTCACTGCCGTGTTGTTGTTTTTTTGCAACACAACTTTTACTGAACATTTAAACACACACGCGACGTTACTGTTGTTGTAAACAGCGGCACGACCGAGGCAGAGACGCTGTGGGCGTTGTGCTAAGGACGCTCTTTCCTCGATAGGATCTCTGAGAGCATCATGACAGCCTGATCATGGCATCATGACAAAAATACGTAAATTAGGCCATTTTATTTTTCCTTATCATGCTAATATGCACAAAATCTTACATGTCTTTCATCTGTAGCATGCACTAGTTTAAATATCAGCTGAAATCTCCCAGTTTAAAGTGTGATGTAAACCACTAAACCAGACTGCAGCAGTCCCCATAGCAACAGAGGAGAGGGTGGGCACCACAAAAGGCACAGAGACACATCATGATTCAGGCCAATGGAGTTCACTCCCCGAGCGGCAACTCATCTATTAGCACTGAAAATCAAACCCACACACCACACAGACCATCCTGTTTTTCATGTCAGAGATTGAAACCTGAGAAATTCCAGTTGGCCCCAATTTCCTCAGCTCAGACATGGTACGACCCACCCACATAGGAAAACCTTCACCAGTGGTCTCCCCCCCCCTCCCTCCGTCTGGCAGGTACCACTCACTGCTGAGGGGAGGGGGGGGGATCCTATCCATCCACCACAAATCTAGTGCTCATTGTGGCAGAATTGCAGTGCACTGGACTGTACAGAGCAGGGTACCATCCAGGCTGTTGTCTGTGAGGGGTGGGGTCCGGCTACACTGACACCACCAAACATAAGCTCACAGAGGGACACAGAGAGGAGAGAGGAAAAAAAAAAAAAAGAGAGACAGAAAAAAAAAGAGAGAGAAGAGGGGGGAAGATTGCACCTGAAGAGGAATATAATACGGGTAAGGAGGAAAGGGGGTGGATGGAGGGAGAAGGGAAAAGACAATGGGGAAAGGTCCAGAATGGTTCAAATAGATTCGCTGCTCTGCTAATTATTATTTTTTTCCCCCTGTTGACAATCCATCTGACTTGATTCCTTTTCCACATTTTTTCAGTCATATGCATGTTTAGTCATCATTTCATGAAGCTCTTGAATGGCTGCAGCGGCTGATTCGCTCTGCATTTGATGTTTTCTGTGGGTTTTTCTTGCTCATAGTGGGAGAATCTGTGGGCCAATGGTGGATAAATCTGACCAGTTGGCCCAGTTTGTTGTGTTTTCCTTTGCATTTTATTAAAAGCATACAGTCGTTTTTGTCCCCCCATACAGGATGACATAATGTAGCAGCTGTGCCGATTCTGTGACAAAATGTTTGCTGGTATTTATGCTTCATGCTTGCTTTGCACCTGAAGCTACCTACATTTATGAATAAGCAATACAGCACTACAAATGTTGGTCATAGCTCTGATCATATATTACATAATAATGCTCTATACTGTGTGTGTCTCAGCATTTAACATGTGGCTCATTTGATCAGCAGCTAGAATGCTGTGATAAAAGCTAATATTGCTACCAATAAACCTGAGTGAGTAAATGTGAATTAAACATTAGAATCACTGCAACCTTTAAGAAATATTACTTTTTACAAAATGAAGGATTGCATTTCTCATTCAAAGCCCACTGGATTGAGTGTTTTTGTGGCTATGAGGAAACTCATTTACACACATAGAAATAGTGCAAAAAAAATGTACAGAATGTGTTTCTGTCTAATTCAAGAGCGTAAATGCTGCTGTGTTTGTGGTCAGGATGAAAGGAGACACCCCAGTGAACAGCACCATGAGTGTCGGCCAAGCCAGGAAGCTGGTGGAACAACTGAAGATCGAAGCTAGTTTCTGCAGGATAAAGGTAAGACAAGGCGACACGGATACCAATCCATACTCACGTGACGTAAAGGTGACTGAACGCTGCATAAAACACCATTTTTTTAATCCCACCTGCTAAACAAATCTAACCTTTTATGTTGCATTAAGTCAAGTACACTGAGCTATACGAGCTAAACGTGGCTTTAGTGTTTTTTTTTAAAATAACTTATTTTGCAGTTGTTCCTCTTTTTTTAATGCATGAAGCCTCAAAGTTGAAATGACGGGTTTTGGGAAACTTTCATCGTCCACGTTGATGTTATCAAAAGGCGGTGATGACCTTCTCAGATGCACTTTAACTCAATGCTTCTCATTGGAGAGTTTCCAAATGGTGTTGGCTTGTATGATGGTCCTACTGGCGGTGAAGACACCCTGCAGAGGCACCTTGCCTTTTTGAAAAGAACAATCAGTGTAAAAATTAAGTCAGGGGACAAACTTACGTATCATGTTTTAGAGGCAACTTTTAGATGCTGATAAACATATTTGTCGCAAAGGTTCAGCTGTGAGAAAGACAGAAGCCTCAACGTGCCTGATCTGACTGTAGAATCAGACGTTTAAAACTATCCATATTCAGACATTTAGTCATGTAATGTAAAGATTTATGTCGATTTTTTTGGATATAAATCAACAATGCAAAATTTCAGGCATTCAAGAACTAAATAAGGATTCATTTTTATACCTTTTTTTCAACTATTTGCACAGTTTGCACATAAAATCCCATTTAATTCAGCAATAAACTGTAAAATAAAAGTGTACTAATCAAACATTTATGTCTTGTTATCCATACTTTATACTATTTTTGATTCCTAATTGCTTCATTTTCTGTTTCTGTGCTCGCTGCTCCTGCGTTTCCTGCTGCACAGTGATAGCTTTGTAACTGCAGACATGTGGTTTTCTCTTGGAACGGATCAATAAGTTTCATCCTGTCTGTATTATTTATAGAAGTGTGTTCATTCAGACACATCCAAAATCGTGCTTTGTTGTTTTTTTTTTTCAGATTTGGGGAAGCAACTTTAGATACAATTCAATTTTAAGGGGTACATTTAAGTTTAAGCAAATGAGCACATTTTAATTGCATCTTCATTTTTAAGTCTTGCCGCAGAATTTGAGCCAAGTGAGCGAAATGTTCAGGATTTAATAAATGGAGCCAGTCACTATTATGACGACACACTCTAAATAATGACATGGATGGAACTCAGACTGAAACACAGGAAGTAGCACATCCTGTCAAAGCAATACTAGAATAAACTAGAAGCAAACCAACACCCTCACTTCATGACGGTCACACATTCAGGGTTTAGCTGTATCACCGTGACTTTACTGCAGAACATCCTACAGATGAGAATGTAGAAGAAAAAACATAAAACAGAAGGTCAAAAGCAAACTGTGCTCACATCCTGTTTTAAATCATGTCATTCTCCAAAACATCCTCAGTAGAAGTCAAAACAACCACGATGAGGGTTTCCAGTACTTGAAAAGGTTAAAGCTCATCCTTCAGCCTCTACATGCGGCACAACATCCGCCCATGTTTACTGTGTTTGTGGACTGTGCTCATGGCTGCGAGTATTAACAGGTTTCCTGATCATGAACTGCTTTAAACCAGCTCGTCTCCACCTCCAGGTATCGAAGGCAGCGGCCGACCTGATGGCGTACTGCGACGCACACGCCTGCGACGACCCCCTGATCACCCCCGTGCCCACCTCAGAGAACCCGTTCAGGGAGAAGAAATTCTTCTGCGCTCTGCTTTGAGACAAATCAGGGATTGTTGTGATTAAAAAGTACAACTGTACAGTATGTACATGTATGTACAGTGTGTACATGTACTTCCGATCTAAGTAAGACATTAATGTACTATAGTAACCTTGCATAAAAGCTGCCGATGTACAGTACATAGTCAACAACAACAAAATGTCTCGAACTAAATTCTGAAACATCTGTCTCAATGTTAGAGGGGAAGAAGAACTATTGGCGACAAAACTAAAAACATTCAATGGATAAAGAGTCAGAAATATCACAATCAAGTTCCGAAATAGCAAGGGGAGAAAAAAAACAAACAACAGCTTTCATTTGATTGAAAACATACATCTCATGCTCTAATGTATTACAGGTAACTGCCAAAAAAGAAACACGCTGATCATCAAGTGTCTTAACGAGGTGTTACTCCAACAGTCACGGGAACAGATTCATGTGGATTCTGCAGCGTTTGACACTTTTCACTGGGACGCTTAAATTCCCACATTAGGTCTGTGGATTACGGTGGTGCTACATGTCTCAGATGCTGCTCGGATAGGATATATAATAATACGTCCAACACATTAAAGATCTGATCCAACTGAAACGAACCTAATCCAGGTGATCAATTATCCCCATAACTGACAGAAACAGAAATGCTCCACTTCACACCGAATGTTTTTTTCTTTTTCCATCCAGATCGTTCCTGTAGAGCCGCATCCCATCTACTGTCAACGCATTTTATATTCTCTGCTGGTGTTCCCTCTGTTTTGGCAGTTACTTGTATCTACCGAGGAAGATTTATGCGTGGATTATAAACATACCGTCGATTTCTTTTAAAGGTTTTATTAAGACGTTTGCTCATTTCTATACTGTTGCTGTAGCGTGGATGTGTGTGTGTGTGTGTGTGTGTGTGTGCACAGGTGCTACTGTGAAACTTAAGCAACAACTCTGAGCATCTGATCGCCGTCAATCGAGATTTTATAGTTCAATAGCACACAGACGCCCCCCTGCCCCGAAAAAAAAAAAAAACACATTCCAGGGGTTAAGGACATTCAGTACACTGTACGATCTAAGCCATTGAAGCAAAATCAGCTATTCGGATATTATGTCACGTGAACAATTTTCTATTTCTTTAGGGCAAAAAAAAAAAGAATACAGCAGTTATAATGTACTTTTAAGGACAGGTGTACGTCGTCATTTTAAATAAGAGGTTCTCCAGAGCAGAGGGGTCCTGGAACGGTTTCAAAAAAAAATTTAAAAAGCAAGGATCCGCCTAATGTCTCATACAAAGTTTCGTCTTTCTCCACAGTTTCTACATCTACAGGCTCATGTTTAGTTCTGTTATGAGTCACATCCATATGAAAAAGAAGCTGTTCTGGCATCTCTGATGGAACCTTTAGGGAACCCCTGCTCTGGAGCATTTCAAAAAACACATTGTGCAAATATCAAATTTGGAGCTTTGGCGGGAAAAAGTAACCATGGAATATAAAAGCATTGAAATAAAAACCTCCTGTCATTGAAGGTTTTCCGTCTCTTCTGACTTTCTTCCATTCAAACATGCACAAACACACATATGTCCAAATCTGATACTTGCCTTTTATTGTTTTTTTTTTTAATAATAAAAGCAATATAAAAGCGTCGAGGTTTCTTACAAACACGTGGGCCAGCGTTTAAACAAGGAGCTGCTACACAACGTTTACATCCTCGTACAGCTGGTGGGTGTAAGCATCAGTCAATGTGAGCGGAAAATGATGTGATACAGCCCGGACATGCACTGCTGCAGGTTTTATTTGACTTTTATTAAATGTTTGAACTAGCATTAAGGCATCTCATGTTTAGAAATACAGTCGAAGACAATATCAAGCTCAGCTAGGAAGACCTGACCTACAATCAGGCTTCTTTGTGGTGACACAAATGACATACAGTGTAGGTGGGAGTTCACCCTCATTTAAAGCCACTGGAACCAATAACAGACATTTAATTTCAAAGCCAGGTACTATATAGGATAGGTCACACCCAAGCAAATCCTCTCTGCTACTTTAGCCAGTTCCTTAGATCGAGTAAACATGGTGTAGATCGATGCATCATGTTTACTGATTTCCACACAAACAAGCTGCGACAGGTTTTAAATACTTGCTGCACCTTTAGCGCCAAGCCACCGCTCAGGAACACACCGAATGTTTTGTTTATCGCCAGCAAACTTAATATAGTAAGTTCAGTCTGCTCATCAGCAACAGAGGGACACATGTTTGACAGTATTTAAGTTTGTTGCATCGGCCTCTTTATTTATATAAATCTTCAGTTTCCAAACAAGCTCAGAGCAGACCAGACGTGGTGTGTGTGGCCATGTCTGTCTTCATTTGCAGGATCAAAAGTTAAACAATTTAAGCACATATATTTAAATAATCTGCGTCAAATCACTTTTTGAGGTTTTCATTTTTCACATTAAACAGCCACACTTAAAATGTCCTCGAAGACATGCGGCTTACATCAATATCCTTCCAATGGCGTTAAAAACAGGCGAACGGGGGCCCAAGAGCTGAGGGTAGGTATTGGATTGTACTGGTAAATCTTCACATTACACAGAGAGAAAAGTGTTCTGAACTTAGCAAAACAAACATATTTTCTGAAGGTAAAAGGTTTTACACACAGAACAAACCAGCATTATTGAACTTATAGAGAAAAAAAAAAACAAGTCTCAGTATATTACCAACAACAGATGAACCAGAAATTTAAAACCTTAAACAGAAAGTAGGCGTAATATTCGAAAGGCCTTGGCCAACATGAGGATTATGAACATGAGCAGCATCTCCTCAAAACTAGACAGGTTAAAGTTCCCTTAGAGTGTTCTTGCAACAAACATTTGAACTCATCAAACACACGTGTAATACCGTTAACAAGGCCGTGGTACATTTAGCGTCTTGCCAGTATGCGTGACGGCGACACGGCCTGCTGGTGAACTAAATGGAAAGAACGGCATCATTAACGGTATTCATCAAACCTGCGCTTTGACAGGTCAAAATGTTTGTGTAAAACGGCCATTGAGTAGAGCTTGCAGACTGACATAACTATCACATTCTGTCATTATGCTATATAAGGTCTAATTAATGAAAGAGAGAACTGGTGACTAAACCTACTTGTTGAAGACCACGAGAAGAGCGCGTGTCGATAAACCTCATTGGGTGTGTACAGTGTCAGTTCATACATGTGCTGTAGCTGAATAAAATCATGACCACGGAAGAGGTAAATGTACAATTTGGACTTCAGAAGTAGAAAACAACCACTGAATGCTTATAGGAAGGCATCGCACCAGTCCTTAAGACAGCCATAGCAGTCACCTTGTTGTTTGGCATTTGCCCCACAAACATCCTTCAGCCAGTCTCGGAACAGCTCCTCGTCTTTTTTTAGCACTAGAAACTGCCCGAGGACAACGTACGCCTGTAGAGGTAGAGATGAACACACAATAAAAAGAGAATCTAATTAGACCAGGGTGTGCAAGCATTACACAATTTCCCACATCAATAGCCAGGGCGTCAAATAGCTTAAATTTTAATTAGAACTTGAAGAACTGCATAGATGAGTGTTTCTTTACAGCTCGACTGAATGAATGAATAGATGATTGGTAAGCAGAAGCAGGACGGTGTATTGAGAACAGATCTCAAGCAAGGTGACACTTCACATGATCAGATGTCAGAACACAAAAAAAGGAGACAGCTCGCTTTACCCCACATTACAGAGTTCCATCGAAGCTTTATTATTTGCCATGGCATTAAGCGCTTGTTGCTGTTAAATGCAGTTTCTCCAAGTCATCATAAACAATAACGAGTAACCTGTTATTCAAGTTACACGTGTTCCAACGTTAACTTTACAGATAGAACATTTTTATGTGTTGATTCAGTGTTGCCATCACTGCAGCACTGTCGTAAACTCTCGATGGAATTTGACAAAAAGCTGCATTTTCACACTTTAAAATATATTATTCAATAATTACTACGCTAAAGTGTCACTGTTTTATTAGACACTGATAAAAAATTACTGATAAAAACAATCAAACAGGTCACCTTGTCAAAACCCTTTTCCGCCAGTCTTTTGCCGAGGACCTCTCCGATGCCTGCAAGAGCCATCACGGGCTTCTCGCCCATGGGCTCGGCCACGAAGTCTCTGTGTTTCTGCGATGTGGACGTCATGGCCTCTGTAGACGGTCACAGAAGTGCTGAGCTAGAACACAAAGACCACATTTGAAAATCAGTACAGAGTGAAACTATGCTCTGTTGCAGCTTCTCGACATGTGACAATTTGTCATATTTTCATTTTAATGTCTGGCTGGAAACTCTGTACGTCAATGAAAGGCTTTTGTCTAAAACTAGTGCTGGGGAGAATATATCACTGCAACTTCAATTATGATTTTCTAATTTTTATCAAAGTAAAGTAGCAAAGAGATAACATCAAAACAGTGAATGCCACACAAGGATTCATTTGTAAAACCACTGATCCACCAGTTTAAACCCTGAGACAGACCTACTCCATGACGTGCATCATGGCAATTTGCTAATGACACTGTGTCAAATTGGGATCTAAACATGTTAATAAGTAAATTCAGTCCTAACTACATGCCATGCATAATTAATCTAGGTTTTACCGTTTAAGTACCTTTAACTTAATTTCATAGAAAGTGAAAGTAACCTGATAAGGTTCCCAACTAACAGAAAGCGAATGTTGTTTCTTCAGTAGCGACGATGTGACGATGCCACAATAACTATCCCGCAGCTCACACGTTAAATGTTAAAATGTAAGGAATGTTGAAGCTAATACTACAAGAAAATAAATAATGTTATTTACAGGCAAGTACGGACACGCCCAGCTGCTAGCACGGTGAAATGTTTAAGCTAGCAGGCAGCAGCAACACAATGCTCTCCCTCAGTTGAAATGCGCGCGCAACACGCTTAAAAGCTAACCGCTTTAGCACAAGTAGCTAACGCTCACTAGCTTCAAAAATACATTAGTTTGTATTTACCATAAGTTACCGTTGCCTCATAGCAGAGGCTGCTCGCTATTTTAAAACCCTGCGTGACCCTCCAATACTTCTCGCGGGTGAACACTCAATGAAGTCAGCGATGTAAAGGCAGAGAGCAGCGGCTAAGATTTTAGGCGCCTTCAAATTAGCCCAACTTAACGCTAATGTAGTTTCAACGCTGCCAAACTAATTATCCTCACATTTACTGCCTCTTATCCTCTCACGCTACTTTTCTTACTACCGCATACTTTGACATATTACAGTCACATGCCGTAACCGAGTATCTTTTTACCTTTTTAACGTCCTGTGCGGGCTGAATGGTAACGTAGTTAGCTGCGGTGTGGTTTCTGTTTCGAGCCGAGCACCGGCGACCACAATGCAACGCGCCAGTGCTTACGTCACTAGTGAAGGCCGATTTATTTATTTTTCCTCCAATCAGATGCTCGCAGCAGGCTCAACGGACCCGCCCACTGGAAACTGAAGGGAAATTAAAACGCAGGCAAGGAGCGACAGTTTATATTAATTTAATATGATATAATGTAAGACATTCTCCATTGCTTTCTAATATTCATTCTCCTGGAGATAAAATATTCTCATTATTATTATTATCTACAAGCCAACACACATAAAGGTGTGATTTGAACTTACAGTTGAAACCAGAAGTTTACATAAACTGTATAAAAAAGACACATAATCTTGTTTTTTTCTCACTATCTGACATTAAATGTGACTGAACTTTTCCTGCTTTAGGTCAGTTAGGATTACCAAAATTATTTATATTTGCTAAATGTCAGTATAATGAGAGATAACTTTTTAGAGAGTTTTTTTTATTACTTTCTTCAAAGTCAGCAGTTTACATACATTTCTTTAGTATCTGGCAGCATTGCCTTTAAACTGTATGACTTGGGTCAAACGTTCTGGGTTTCTTTCCACAAGCTTCTCACAATAGTTTGATGAATTCCTGCCCATTCCTCCTGACAGAACTGGTGGAACTGGGTCAGGTTTGTTGTTCCACACACCTTTTCAGCTCCTCCCACTAATGTTCTCCAGGATTGAGATCAGGGCTTTGTGATGGCCACTCCACAACACTGACTCTGTTGTCCTAAAGCCTCTCTGTAACTAGTCTGGCGCTATGCTGAGGGTCATTGTCAATCTGAAGACCCATTCGTGTCCAGGCTTTAACTTCCTGGCTGATGTCTTGAGATGTTTCTTCAATATTTCCACATAATGTTCTTTCCTCATGATGCCATCTATTGTGTGAAGTGCACCAGTCCCTCCTGCAGCAAACCACCCCCACAACATGATGCTGCCACCCCCGTGCTTCACAGCTGGGATGGTGTTCTCAGGCTTCAAGCTTCCTCCTTTTTCCTCCAGATGTAACGATGGTCATTAAGGCCAAACAGTTCAGGTTTAGTTCCATCAGACCACAGGACATGTCTCCACTAATGAAGCTCTTTGTCCCTGTGTGTATTTACAAACTGTAATCTGTCTTTTTCTATGTTTCTTCTGGAGTGATGTCTTCTTCCTCTCTGAGCAGCCTTTAAGCCCATGTCGGTACAGGACTGGTTCCACTGTGGATAATGACTCTCTGACCAGCTTCAGCAGCATCTTCACAAGGTCTTTAGCTTCTGTTCTGGGGTTGATTCGCACATTTCAACCAAAACACTTCATCTCTGGGACACAGAACCGTCTCCTTCCTGAGCAGTATGATTATACTTGCATATAATTGTTGGAACAGATGAACATGGAACCTTCAGGTATCTGGAAATTGTACCCAAAGATGAACCAGACTCATGGAGGTTCTCTTCCTGATATCTTGGCTGATTTCTTTAGATGTTCCCATGTTGCAACAAAATGAAGCAATGCGTTTGAGGTGTGCCTAAAATTGTGTTGCTGAAATAACTGGCAAAACAAATTAGTTGTGTTGCAGCAACAATTGCAAGACGCTGCGGACAGACGACTTGATCCGTTTCGGTTTCTTTTTTTACAACCAAATACTCTCATTTTTTCTCTTTTGTTTCTTGATCATTCTGCTGAGTGCATCTGGAGCCTGCATGTCAACAAACTCGGTTTTGAGAATAACATTCAAAACAAAAATCTTAGTGCAACCAAGAACCAATAAAATTGAATAAATCACTTACGATCACACAGACTTGTTTTGTAGATTAGTCATTGAAAATATGGACTATGTGAGCTTTCTTTTTGCATCAAGCTTGTAACGTGATCTGATTTCGTTAGCCCAATGATACAAATCAACAGGACAACGGTGATTATTGCTTTCAGGGTTGACTTTATTTACTTATTTGTAACAGTATACTGATGCATAGTCCTCACGATTGCCATTCATGTCATAGTTGTGCGCATTAATTAACCTTCTAGCTCCGACACCGGCATCCACATGACATTTGCATCCATCTTTGAGAAAAGGGGATAAGCTTTAACAGGTAATACTGGGTTCTGTTAGTGCAACTCTCACAGCAACTCGGGGTGTGTAACTTGGTTCAGGAAGTTTTGAATGAGCCTAGACCTCAGACAGAATGCTGGAAGCCAGACTGCAGGTCAGCCCGGTGCCGTCAGGCTCCACGTTGAGCTTCTTCACAACTCCATCCTCCACCAGCATGGAATATCTGAAACACAAGATGTTGCACACGCTCGGTTCAGAATCTCAAATAGTCAACAACAAAAGAACTAAAGATCACAATCACACACACACGAGACAAATCAGCATCTTTAAATCAATTATTCCAACTAGAAAAATAAATATGGAAAAAGATTAAAGAATAGGGAGAGAAACAGGTTTAAGTCTACAGACACTACATGTTTTTTTAAGTTATGTTTTTTGGCCCAGTTGGGAGAGAGACAGGAAAGTGGGGGAAGGGGTTGCAGCAAAGGGCCTTGAGCGGGATTCGAACCCATGGCCGCTGCATCAGAGACTACGGCATACATGGGCCGCCAGCTCAACCAGGTGAGCTAAAGCAGACACCAATTCTATCATTAGCCGTTGTATCATTAGGTGCAATAATCAGTTTCATGTCGGAAGCCACGCCCTCGTTTGGTGGGATTGTTGGCAGAAAGAGGTGCACATGTCATGGAACATACCTCTTATGTTCCATTGCATTCAACCAGAACAGTACAGTACACCGCCCACATTTTACACTCAGATAATACTGTGTACTGCTGTATTCAATCAGGGGTTATTTCACACAATCCAAACCAGATTCAATTGTCTAAAACCCCATGCTATCAATCTATTATTGCAAAACTGAAGCAGGCAGAACAATGGTTACCTCTTGGATCGCTTGTTCCCAAGTACCTGCACAATCTGTTCACTGTCAAGAAGCAGGTCAACCGCCTGACAAACAGAGAGACAAACACCGATGAGCACACGCAGTCACAACACTTTAAACAGAGCAGCCATTTACCAGATATTTATTTTTACCTTAGTAAACGCTCCAGTGGGGTCAGCCAACATGCGAACCTGCAGAGGACAGTAGTGGTAAATTCAACAGTCTGTGTCTGCTTTTAAACAAGGCTGCTGTCGTGAAGGTCCATACCTTGCCATCTGCTCCGTGCTCCTTTCCCCACGCAGCCATGACAAACGCATCGTTGACAGAAACGCATGCAACCTCCTGTATGCCTTTAGCCTTTAGGTCCCCAGCCTGCTGCACGAATCCTGGGAGGTGAGTCTGAAAGCATCAAGGGAAGACCAACTGCTATAAACGTCATTGCGCTTCAAGACATCTCATGCAGCGTTGACGGTGCGGACTCACTTTGGAGCAGCCGGGGGTAAAAGCTCCAGGTACAGCGAAGAGGACTCCCTTCTTGCCCTTGAAGAGCTGATCCATCGACACCTTATTTCCAGGCTCCCCCTCCTGGACCTCCACTGCAGGAAGAGGTTCGCCGATCTGATCCAGATGACAACACAGGAAAAAAAGCTGACTTACTTTTTCAATTTACTAGAGTGAACAACGGCAACCTTTGTGTCCCTGCAGGCTGCTGAAAACTCTGCTGTTAAACTGAAGCGGTTTACTCCTTGGGTCAAAATGTCAGCACACTTAGACAACAACAAAGTGTCTGCAGGTTGCACAGCATCAGCAAGTAAATATTTAATGAAGACTTTGGGGCTTTTTAAATGCTGCCAACTCTGTATGTACACAACAACACTGCTATTGTAGACAACAACAGAATACTCCTGAGACAGTGTTGTGTGTTGTGTGCAGCACTGTAGCTCCTCATGTGTGCGCTCATACATCTGAATGAATACATAACACTGAAAATCTGCACATAACCAAGACTCGACTGACTATCAGCCTTGCAGATTTGATAATAAGCATTAACTGATTCCTGATAAATAAATAAATATTAAAAGGTTCAGCTTTGGCTCTGATTGCTGCTCTCCACCTGTAGTCGACAGTCTGTGGTTTCAGGTGATATCACGTCCACAGATCCAACTCAACAGTCACACGTCAGTCACATTTTAATGTATAGAGATTATCATTGAAATGGAATGCAACATAAACTACTTTCCAGAACAGGACAAATAAAAAGGCAATAAATACAATAATAAAAACAACAACCCACATAAAAGTTAGAATAAATAACTCTCAATAAAACAGAGACTGAGGAACTGTGGAAACACTATCATAAATAAATGTAACGAGGAAATGACGGAGGCAGGATCAGTCTACATATTACATAAATGCAAATAAGACAATCATTTTTTAAAAAGTAAAAAAAAGATATATGCGATTTAAAAAAATGGAGAAATCAGCCTTGTGCAAAACAAAACACTTTATATGTTTTAAAATCCATCTTTGCACATGTTAACATCTGCACACTGGGTATTTATTTATCTCATTTTATACTGCATGTGTGCCCTCAGGTGTCTTGTGGGGTTGTCGAAGCAATTTCCTGTAAAGGATCACAAAAGTAACTAACATTTAAATGTATTAAAAATAAATCATTTTAACTTTGCATACGCTCAGATAAACAGAGGCAGGGATTAATAAAAACAAACAAATATTCTATCAACTGTTTTTGCATGGCTGCCGTGTCTGCCTGCGGCCGCTAGGGGGCGACAAACCACCACATTTAGCGCTCGTTAAAATGGCCGAAATTCTAAATTTAAAACTGACATTGAAAAACTAATTTAAGTCGCACAGTTATTACACATTGAGCGTTTAAAATTCATTCCAACAACTGCTAATACGCCTCCAGTGCAGCTGAATGACACCAAGAGGTTTAAACGAGCCGATATTCGCGGCGTGTCGCAGGTGAGAAACACCGACAGCCCGTCACCACAAGTTCACTGACGGAGTAAAGTTACACCAACACGGACAGACACGTAACTAAACTTAAATTCATCAGATAATTCAAGACAGACTCATGAGCTAGTGCTGTCCACCGAGCGGGGTTTTAAAAGTGTATTTCTAGGCTAGAACCAGTCGACGGGCTGGGCTTTAATCGGCCGGTGGCTCCGTTGGAGCCGACGCGGGCATCTGTTGGTGAAGGTTGGGGGGAGAACGGCGACAGCAGCGCGGCGGGGATTCAAGCTAGCAGCATCTCCAATCACGGCTGTCATGGCGACGGGCTGCGCGGACACCGTTAGCATAGCCGGCTACACCCGAGAGGATGTCAGCGCTTTAATTTAAAACACTACGACTCTCGGTGACTTTGCTGGACGGCGTGTAGGACGTAGAGCGCGGCTAACGTTAGCTAAGCCACACCGGAGGCTCACCTGAATGGGCATTTTGGCGACGGGAGTGATGTGCAGCAGCCGGACTCCGTGGACGATGCGGGCGCTTCGGAGGACAGAGCCTGTGATGGAGAGCATGCTGCTGGGCTAGGCTAGCTAGCGCTTTAAATACGGTGTGTGTGTGCGGGCAGGAAGGAAGGTCTGTTGGGATGTGGTGTGACGGGAACGACACACCGCGAACTCACTTTACGGTACTGTCCCTTTAACTACAGCGGTGTCCCACATTGAGTTTGGACTTAACGGAGAGTCGGTCGGGGCCTGCTAAGTCTTTATTTACTGCGCCATCTGCTAGCAGGAAGCCATATGCCCCGTTTGTAGTATCTGTCCAGCTGATTCATGCGTGTGTGGACACGAGCTGGACCGTTATGTGGAAGTGACAGAGAATGAGCTTAACAGGGTTTGTCCACAGTGAGGGATAATAAAGTGGAGTTCTGGTATCAACTACATGACAGGGCTGCAGGAGTTAGTTGATAAGTTGCAAACAGAAGGCGTCATTTAGTTCCTAATCACCACTTTAAAGTTGTTTCATAATCAGATGCCATCCCACTTTCTGTTTGGGTTTATCCCACATTAACAACAACTGAGTCAGATTTACACAGCTGTATCTGTAGAGGTGTGCTATGGTTGTTTTCATGCATTTAATTTTATACTAATCTGGGTGTCTGACCCTTTAAATAGTGCAGGAGAAAAAGTTCACCCATAAAGCCACAGAACACATCTACGGAGGCCCAGAAGGGACATGGAGAAAGAAAGAAAAAAATAGAGGTGTCTTTTGCAAGAAAACTATAGGTGTATATGTATACTTCTGGGTCTTTTTGTCAGTATGGAGCAACAACAATGGAGGACACCCACCTGTGCTCCATCTGTCATGTCTCCATACTGACAAAAAGACCCACGGACAAAATAGTTGGTACTCCTCGGTTAGTGAAAGAAAACCCCACAACAGAAATAACTTGAATCTGACAAAAGTAATAATAAATAAAAATTTTATGAAAATTAAGCAATGAAAATCAGACGTTGCTTTTGAGCTGCGGTTTAACAGAATTATTTAAAAAATAAAAAATAAACTCATGAAACAGGCCTGGACAAAAAAATTTCTTAGAATTTTTATTTATTATTACTTTCTGTTATTATTTCTGTGACCGTTGTGGGTTTTCTTTCGTTAACTGAGGGGCACCAACTATTTTGTCCACGTGTTATAGTTTTGCAAGAGCTTGTAGAAGTTGTTGTGAGATCCCAAGAAAGTTTTGCACAGGCTCTTGCAAATGATACCTCTATTTTTGTTTTTCCTTTCCCTGTTTTTTTCTCTTGTGGGGCTCCGTACACAACAACCCCAACTAATAATAATCAGAGCAAATCTGCAGTCTGTGTTGCTGACAGAAAAGATAAACACTGAAGAAATCAGTCCATAACTTAATGTAACTACAGCCACTTAGAATAAAACAATAAAATGTGTTGTGTTGTTACTTGGCTCCCTGTTTCCATAATTAGATTAATTTATTGATTAGAGAGCTCGTCCTGAATATGAAGGTTTGGGAAGCATCCATTCACACAAGTAATGTCTCTGCTATAAATAAATATCCTGCTGTGGGATCGAAGTGGGAAGATTTCTGTAAAACTTAAGTAAGACTTAAGTAAACAGATCTAACTTTTTATAAACAGTCTAATAATATCCTATTAATTTTGAGAGCTCTAATGCATGATAAGTAGATCCCAAAATATTTTTTGATTCATTTTTTGTAAGAAATAAAAAAATAAAGTTTAAAATAAAAGATTAGGGGCTATAGCATTGGACATCCAGGCCCAACAGAGCCACAGGTTGGCAAATAATAAACAAATTATGATAATAAATTAATTGGCTTGAGTAATCTTTTAATAAGTTCAGTGTAAATTATTTGATTCCAGCTCCTTGCATTAGAATATCTTCAGGTTTCTGTCTTCTTCCATGACAGTAGACTGAACATAAGACTTTGAGGACAAGATTTTTGGGTTTTGGGAAACACTGATTTAGAGCAAACAAAAAAACTTATTGACATGTTGGGTTGCAGCCCCGCTCCATGAATTGTTTTATTCTAAAATATTCATTTCTACTCCTGTCGCCCGTCAGCAGCTCAACGCGTGTCGACATGTGGTGTCTTCACTGCACTTAATCTGATAACAAAACATGAACACACACATATATGTACACACACATACATAAAACATCCACAGGGAGAGATGAGACCAATGATATGTGGCGGTGGTGTGTCCATTTATTACACAACACAAAGCACCTACAATAATCCACTCCCTGTTGGGTGTCAGACAGCGGAAGATCTCACTTTTTTCACAGTGATTTTTTTTATGTGGGACATGTTTAGACAAGGACATCAAACTTTTTTTATCTAAATGAAAAAGAAAAAAAAGAAAAAGCCTACACACAGAAATTCACAGCCAATATCACACACAAAAAAAATAATAAAGCAGTGTCAACAAACAACAGTAAATTGAGTAAAAAATAGAATTTAATCATTTAAATAGTCTTTCAAAATACAAACATTGATTTGAACTTCTAAATAATATAACGTTTAGTAGCTATTCTTCATTATAACTGGCAATGTTAAATGTACACTGTGGCTATACAAGGAAATGTGTGAGGTTTGGTAATTTATTGTATTGCTCATTTATATTAATGCTTGTAATATGCATCGTAATAGAACCTACAAATGACTGTATAATTTCAAAGTTTGACACGCCGGATGAGCCTCACGCCACCCTAAACCCACTGTACCTAAAACACAGTTGTACGCTAATGAAGAAACCCTAGCTTTGCATATATGACCCGGTTAATAGAAGAAACTCTTTTGACGGCTCTAATTTGACCCCGGCGTCTAATGTTTAATCGCCTGCTTAAAGTAATGTGATAACTACTCGGTTAGAAAACAAACATATTTTCCTAACTGACATAATGTAACGTATAAGAACGAGACCCGACAGGTGAATCAAGAGTCACATGTGGCCAGGTGTCTGCTCCACAGGGCTAGCTGCTGGATCAGTTTGTACCATCTCGTGAAGCAGGATTAACGAACCTTTAAAGTTATGAAAACCAAAATGAACTCAGGTGTTCGCACGACATTCAGTTAGACCCAATATCCAAATTTCAAGCCGACAAATCAAAAGACCACGAGTTTGTCTCCACAGTTATTTGGCCGTCTGGCTTGCTCTGCCTCCTGAGGTAGCCTTCTGTAGCCTCGCCGTGCCATCGGATCTATAGAGCCATGTAGATTGATCCCTAAAAATAACAATCAGCCTCAGAAAACACATTTTAAATTAAAAAAACGATTAGCATTCGTTACATCCTGAATGGAAAGCTTCTTTTCGATACCAAAACCCACGACAGTGTGTCACAATGTAAATAAAATACCCTTAAATCCTAGAAAGGAACCTATGAAAAAGCAAGTTTCAAGTCTTTACAAATTTCAGTACAATGTAAGCTGCACAAATATCATCGTAATGGGGAATTTTTTTTTTTCTTTTTAAATCACATTTGCTGGCTTTATTTATCTTCCACTATAAATTGCATGTTTCCGTTTATTGAAATGGAACTGTACATGGCTAAAAGACTTGACGGCCTCTCAATATTATTTTCGTCGAGCTCTGACTTTGACACCAGATGCTGTGGTTTTTGCATTGCGTGTGAAGCTCACTATAATGATCGTTTATAAGTATACAAACCTTCTGAACAATGAGTCGGACTTTCGGGATGTTGTCAGACACGGTTTCAACATCCAAAAGGAAGATGTTGCATATGTTGCATTTCTTGTTGCCCTGAACCCATTTCGGGCGCTTTAAGAGTTCGGTACAGATGTGCGTCCACACAGGAAGGATCTCAGCTCAAACATCTGAGATCTTTTACGCTCTCCGGCGCTGCAGAAAATGCAGCGAAATCTCACCGTACACAGATTAGTGTTACACATTACAGCCCACCAATGAAACAGGATCTTTTTTTGAAGACACAGCTGCTGTGGTTCTAGTTGGAGGAAGAGGGTATAATAATAAAAAAAAAAGCAGATGAGGCATTTGCATTTTCTTTTCTATAATCACTGTTGTTGCCACACTTGCTTTAATGTTCTTCCCTGATCTCGGTGCAGCTCGTAGGTTCCGACTGCACGCGAACAAACACACATGCCTGCTTGTATGGAAGCCACTTTTTTTCCGTGTGCACCAATAGGACTTTTACATACAACACCTTCCACGTAGATCATTTTACGGGCGCGCCATCTTCAAATGCACTTTTCCTGGACTCCAAATCAATTGCACAACCTTTTATAAAGAATCTTGCACCGACACCAGTGGCTCCCAACTCCACCATCTACCCACCAAGTGCTGCCGTTTTTCCTCTCTAAGTTTTTTTTTTTAATCTACTCCCTTACCAAACCAGTTTCTACTAAAAACAAAATAAATCAGCACTTGGGGCTCTAAGAGTGGAGAACTACTGATAGACACACACAAACAGATGTCTCACCGTTTCATTCACATTTTGAATGTGACAGACAATAATCGAGTCATTTATATTGCTTTTAACATATTGCAAGTAATTCTTATGATTTGCCCACAGCGGCACGCTAAACTATAGTAAATACAAGCACTTCATGTGCGTTTCAATCCGACCCCCACGCTGGACCCTCAAAGCTTTTCACTGGATATGTTATTATGGCTTTCATGAGCGGATGTAGCGTTGTTTTTTTTTTTTTTGTTAAAAAGTTCAAAAAGCCACATGATTGCAGTCTGTTCTCGGGTGTACCTAAACGTTGTTCCTCAGTGGTTAAGTAACTGCAGATGGATTCCTGTGATGAAACATGCCACGAAACGGTTAAAACTAAAGAAGCATCCTGGCATTTGTGTTAAATGTTTTCACTCTCGGAGCCGTTTACTGAAGCTTGGCAGTTACATCTTACTTGCAAGGAGCCAATTCCCTCTGAAGAAAATAGTTTTTTCTCTTTTCTCGTGTTATTTTTCTTCCTCCGTCATGAAGTCTTACAGGAGAAACGGACCATTTTCCTCTTTATTAATTCTCGAATAAAAACTTTCCTTTTTCATAAACAGCTTTTTCCTCCCCACTCTTGAAGACTAGATTCTCTGTCGGGGTCTTTCTCTGCGTCCTCTTCGCTTCTGCTGCCTTTCTGCTCTAGGGAGAGTCCATCATGGCTTCCAGCATCTCCAGGAATAGTTTGTGCATGGGTACACCGCCACGGGTCTTGATGCTGTAAAAGGTGGTGAGAGCACGACCGGCAGTCTGTCGGAGGAGAGGCAATGTTAAAAGGAGGCGTCCCGCCCGCTGGGGGTCGTCTGGGCGCCGCTGACATTCCAGCTCCAGCAGGGCCTGGTGGAGGAGGTCCCGCAGCTTCTGCACGGCCTCCATGTCCTCGATGTAAACAGAGTCTGACAGAACAGCAGGGAGCACATGGTAAGACAAGAGGGCAGGGCGTTTGGGTTTTCTCAGCTTTTGTCACAGAAACAAAGAATGTGTTCGCCGGTGATTTACAACAAATACAAACTAACGGCAGCTTTTATTTACAGAACAAACGGTGGGTCTGTAGCACAAGCAGGATGTGCTCAGTTCATCTTTAATGGGTATGCGTGGGTTAATTCATCATTTCTATTCTACAATGGATGATGCGTTTATGTACATCTGCCTGTTGAAGACTATTAGAAACAGTCTCTGCACCCAGCAATACCTGACCTTTGTTGTCTCGGGCATTTGGCTGCTGACACATAATCCCATCAAGTTAAAAAGATGGACAGCAGACATCATCTGCTCTCCTCACCGCTAATCTGCTGTTTCTGTGGCTACTGATGCCGCTGAGCAGTTAGATGAGGACTAATTAAGCAGCTGCTAACGAACGGTGCAGCATATAGTCCCACCGTTGTACGTCACTGTGACTATGACGGGAGAACAATGCACTTAGTCAGCTGATTAGGTTCACCCAGCTAAAGATTATGAGATCTGACAAATACCTGCGTCTTGAATTCTGCACTGCATAGAGTTTATTGACACTGATTTAGAGAGGCGTTAAGCTTTTTGTAACTGCTCCGTGGTGCTGGTGAACTGCACTGAGTTACAGTGAAGTTATATCAACACATATGGACTATCGGATCAACAGGACTACAAACTGAACCCTTAATATAACGTCCTTAAAGCCAGAGTTGATTGCAGCCTTGTCCCCCAAATAAAGGATTAGTAAAGGTGGTAAACACTGCCAGTTTAGTCAGCCTAAATAAGCCTGAAGCCTGGAAAATGTCACACTTTAAGGGCGTTTTTCTCCATAACCGTGACCTGGATGACTGAGAATCTTCAGACACTTTAAGGCGGTTTCAACGTACGCCCCTGATAACAGCTCAGTCCTATTAGGTTGATAATTGTCCTGTAAGGTGCAAATAAATGGTTTGCCTCAATACTTAATCTGTCTCCAAAGCTACAGTCGAAGTGCAAGTACCTGAGTTCGTGAGTGCGATGGCTTTTAGCATGACAAATTCCTCCCGGTCTACGTTTAGTGCGCGGAAACGGCGAGCGAGTTGACTAATTGCCGCATTAAGCTCCGTCAGTCCGGCGACACGTGACATCTCCTCGTCAAGGACAAAATCCTCGGCGAACACCACCTCGTCCTCGCAGCCGAGCGAGCGGTACGCTACGCCCAGCACGAGCACTTCCAGCCACACCGACTGCAGCACCGACATCTGGTCTGCGAGAGACAGTGAGAGGAAGCCTGCAGGAGAGAAGACGTAGAAAGACAGACGTGTTTGAATGCAGAGGGTTCACATTTTTTGGGGGTCATCTGGCACAGCAAATAATGTGCTAGTTCCTGTGGGCAGCTGGTGACCCGACTCTAGATGGTACCACAGGTAAGCACTGCGTGAACCCGCTGAGCCATCAACACCAGCTCAGTGCCTCCTCCCCTAACACACCACCCACACCAATAAGTTAACCGGTTTGATTATATATCTGGCTGAACACACACACTTGAGCCTTGTGAATCTGCTGTACACGGCCCGTTCATAATGATCAATATTCTAGTCAGAGCCTTGAGTGAAATATGACACAGCATGTTTGTTCCTATTCAGTGAGAATGGATCACCAAGTCCCAGTCACTCCTCCCCTCCTTCATTCTCTCTGCATCTCTTACCGGGAATGTGTTTGGCCCAGCCAATGATCACAACCAGCTCGCGGTCGGCGAGGTCACAAAGCGTGGTGAGCGTACGCTGGGCTGTGTCGGGCTGCAGAGGGTCGGGCATGGCGAATAGCTTCTCTGGCTCTGCTACTAGAAGGTGGGACACGATGATGTTGGAGGAACCTGTGACACGAAACACACAACAGTGGGATTAATTGCAGTATACATTGAGACATATTGACACCCAAAACATCAGCTCTGTCATTATCTAAACACACATATGACGTTCTGCAGCATGCTGCTGGTAACTGAACCCATGTAGTGATCTATTAACGCTGCAAATGTCCGCATTACGTCTTCAAATGTAGGCCTCATCATTTCTGAGTTCATCCCAGTCAGACTTGTGTAACTGAAGAGCTCCTTCTTCAGTCAAATTTAATTTAAATTCGTGCAAATTAGTACTGTTACAGCATGAATTGAAGTGCTGATTGAAGAGCTGAAGACTGACACTGAAGCGTTGTTGGCAGTAGAGGGAGCTGTTTTCTTATCAATTCCAATTGATTTGAAGTGTTCTGTGTGTTGCTGATGCGCTCAGCGTGACTTGTGTTTCACCAGCTCGGAAGTATATCTTGTATTTTTGGAGAAGCACTCTGAGCACGTCGAGTTTAAAAGAGGAAAAAGGTTGAGATGAATTCTGCCTCCACGTCTGAGTCAGAACAGGTGGAGACCTTCCATGTTACCTGTTGCAGAGCAGAGATCTGTTTGTCTATTACTGTGTCTTTAATTTGCCTAAACGTGGCTGCTGTTGGTTAAAAAAAAAAGCAAAACCCATCCTTTGTCATTAATAAGAACCCAGAGTTACATATATAGTGAATATATGAAGTGGCTGCACATTTGTGGGAGTAACATGTGGCGCCTGAAGCTGCCTGTTGCAGAACAAAGAAACGAGACTCACCTTTTTCACTCTCCTTTGTGAGTGGTAGCGGGGCACTCTGGTATGTTGCATTCTCCACTTCTGGGCGCCTTTTGTACTTCTGCCTTCCACCTCTGACCCTGTCGAGACGAACTCCTGCATCATGAAAGATAAAGTCAACATGATTTATGCCGCTACACACGGAATAAATATATAGAAGTTAACATGAAGTATCCCAGACTGGCTTCACAGCTCGTACAAGGTCATGAATACTCACCCTCTTTCAGCATGCCTACTTTGAGGCACTTGGTAAAGCGGCATGCCTGGCAAGCCTTTCTGCGCCTTTTAGTGATCTCACAATCGTTTGATGCTGGACAACTGTATTCGATGTTACCTTCATAGAAGTACAACCAAGAAAAAAAGAAGTCAGTTCACAGTAAACTGGATGATTAAGCAACATAAATATGAAGGAGCATTTGGTTTTGGAGGAAAACAAGCTTCTTCAGTTTCACAAAATCCTCTGATCTTTTAAACATTTAATCCGAAGCAGAATTCATACAAGCTACTCGACACATTTCACAACGTACACGCAGCACGGCGACGGCTGCCAAGTGTTGATGGTTTTCAACAGACCAGTGTAAACCAGATGGGATGGTTGTGTACCGAAGCGTTATAAGGAATAACAACATTAGCCAATGATGTGGGTTCTTAGTCACTCTTGCCTTCCACAGACTCGTCGACGCTGTGGGGAGCGGGGATGCCCTGAGCCGTTTCAGATTGGCACATGTTTTAATAGATTAGCCTAATTATTTTATGATTCAGTGTTTATGGTAATGCTCCACACCCCAGCCATGCTCGCCCTCATACAGGTGAACTAAACATCCTGTTGTTCTCTGAAAATATGACAAGACATTTTGAAAGGAGAGAAGCCTCCTATCATCCATGTAAAAGTCCAAAAATATGTAAATCTGTGCTCACTGCTTACTGCATTGTCATAACTAGTTAAACTAACTGGTGGTGAAAATGCTGAAAGTTTCCCACAGAAGGCAGTAGAGGTAGGCGTCACACAAGATGCTCCAGATTTAATTTGAGATTAAATTTGTCAACTTCTTACATCACAGAAGCTGTCATGGGTGACCTTACTGTTTCTACTGCTACCCAAACACGTCATCACAACACACACCTTGAATGGTTCTCTTGAAGAACGCCTTGCAGGCCTCGCATGACGCGACGCCGTAGTGGTAACCCGAGGCCACGTCCCCACATACGAGGCACAGCCTCTTGGGCAGCGTGCTCAGGGCGTACTTGCATCGCCCCGCTCCGTTTCCGGTGGAGCCCTCCTCTGCCCCGTCGCCGGCCTCGTCTTTGAAGTGACAACGCAGAGCCGGCGTGTAGAGCGGCGGGGAGTAACGCTTGGCGCCGTCCCCTCTGGTTCCTCCTCCTCCGCTTTGAGAGGAGTCCGAGGAGGCCCCGCCCGGGCTGGTCCGACCTCCCCCACCTCCCTCTGGACTGCTCGGCTCTGCCTTTATGTAGACATCTGACCGACGCTCCCGGGAAGACATTATGTCTGGAGGGCAAAAAAAAACAAACAGCAAAGAAAGGTCAAAGTAAATAATGGCGTAGAACCTTTTTTCTAACATCTTTGCCTTTTACACCATCTTCATACCAGCTATGAAAGGAACACCAGAATTTGACCTTGTTGGGCCAACGAGGCAGAACAAACATGTACCGTGAACATTTAGTCTTTTGTAAGTTGAAATACATTTCATAAGGAGCAGATATGTTCTTACAGAGGGTTTTTAAAAAAAAATCTCAGCACAGATTTTAATAATTAGAATCAAAGCAATTCACTAGTGTCTGATTGCGGCTCAGCATCTTTGAGGGCAGCATAAGCAGCCCGTGGTGGGCTCCAGGACGACACCACAGCCCACTCTCCGGCCCCTTTTCTCTTCCAGCCTTTATACCATCGTTACTGTTTGCACTGATACGGGGTACGTAGGATGGTTTGAGTGTAAACACAGTAATCGGAAGGAAGCAGACAGCAGAAAAAAAAATCTTGACAGGAATTCAAGAGCTGTAGCGCAAACGCTGCCTAATTCAGCGGAAAACAAATTAAAGCCCGACTAACCTTCACTAAACTATCAACCAAAGAACATGTGGTTATTTCACATTTAGATCATGGTCAGTCTTCTGTGCTGGAGGGCACGGACAGGGAAACGGGCCTGGATTCTGCACTATCAGCATGCTAACATCACAAAAGGCCGGCTTGTTCTCTGCCTTGCTCTTCAGCATAACTTAATCCCTGCGTTGTCCGTGCTGTTTCTTCTCCGGCTGTGCTTTCTAAGCCATCAAAAACCACCTCGGATTCACCAAACCAGACGCTTTGCTGCCTTAAATGAAACTATGCAGTCCTCAGACCACTGCCACTGTGTGAAGTCTTTGTCTGCCACATTTCTAGTCATTAAAATAGCCAAGGTGACTGGATGAAGGTCATTATGCTCATAAACAGCGGTCACTCTTCCTTATCCGCACCTATAACTTACGTCGGAGGAAGGCAGCAGGAGTACCGCAGTAACCTGCATGTCTGCGAGAGGCCGTCTGTGGTTCTCAGTTTAATTACAGAAGCGAGCTTAGTAAATATGTCATGCTAGCGATGAAATCTAATGTTTATGAATCCAAAATACAAGCGCATAAAAAGTTCACGAGGCCAGTATCATAGTCGGTACATATCGCTGTACATTGAACTCAAGGAACAGAAAAAGGGAAGGAATTTGCAAGCCTGTCCTATCGCGGACGCTGTAAACCATTAAAATTACCTTATCTCAGTTAGTTGGCAATAACGTACCGACAACACACAAATACTCATTACAGATCGTCCAGTTCAGCTGATTATTATTATCACAAATATAAAAATTAAACTGCAACACAACAGCACACAGAGGCTTTGTGATTAAATTGATTTCCTCCAAATTTTTGCCCAAAACTATAGTTTGGGAGAAGGTTTAATTTCCTAAGTGAGCGTCCACCACCAAATGCAAACCAAATCTGAACAGTTCGGTCAGCATGAGAGAGTCTACTTGATGCTTTTAAGCAGTTCCAGTGCCAAATGTCACGGTTCTTAATGTCAATCACGCATCACATACATTATAAATAAGACAGTTAACCTAAGAGCACTCTGATCTCTTTGACACATAATGGAGTTACAGCAAATGGGCATCGTTGTCTCGGGGTTTTTCGCCCTCAAATGACTGAACAAACAGGTGGCTGCCTATTTGTGTCAGTAAAGCGACCATTACTCTGCCCTGCCCAAGTTAGGCCGATCAATTCTGCACATAGCTGCAGCGCTCGTGTAGATACCCTCGTACAAAAAGAGAGAAACGGTACATTGTGTAGCCACATAAACAAATAAAAAGGTTTATTATTTTGTCTCAAACCGACTGTGTTTCAAGCTAATGATGGCTGAAGTGTCGCCTCCTTCGCTGTAAATTCTACTTTATCAACAGCACTTCAGGGATGTTAAAGAAATCGGTACAAACAGGGGTATAAACAAGGCATGTGCCTGAGCTGTAGTCCGTCCCCGGGCTTTGACTCATCACCGGGTACATTAATGCAGAGCCTTACTTGAGCGACTGTGCTCTCGTTCCAACTTAATAGACGAGTGCGTGAGGACGATGAGATGGGAGCTCTGCTGCCTAAAAACGCCCCAATCCAGTTAAGACCTGAAAGCCATTTTCTCTTTCATACATGCTGGCAATCCAGAGCAAATTACCAACCAGTCGTTCTTGTTGTTCATCAGTTAGGCCAACAATCCAGTTGTATTTACTAAGTGCTGCAATATTTTGAATTACTACGATCCCTCACTCTGTCCAGGGTGAAAAGAACCTAATTAATAAAATGTCTCTTGATGTTTACTGTACGGTGCATATGTAAATGTAATATTTACCAACAGGCACATAGCGGGGTAATTCATTTTCACCTTTATTTACATAGCTACACTTGCAGCATTCAAAAGAGCTAAATGAAGCTAAACACAAAGCTTCAAACTACCACTGTGACAACAACACCAGCTAACAATCTGTGACTTTATGGGATATAATCAATACCGGCTCAGCCCTGACCCGTGCTGCGTTCCGTTTGTCCGACTGCAGAACTGTGAATGTATGTTATATATTACCCCTTTGTTGACACGCGGCGTCTATAATAAACAGGCCCCTGCTGGACACTTTGCATTCACTTCACGTAGCGCTGTGCATGGACTTGGCTCGCTGTTTTCTGAGCTTCTTTACACAAACTAATAAGATGCGTACATGAAAATGTGTTTTGTGTGTGATTAAAGCTGTTCAAGATCAGGCATATAAACTAGGTTTCAGACCCACTGGGAGCAGAACAGCAAAGAGGCTCACATTGCATAGAGGCTGTGAGGAAAACTGAGTCAGTCCTGGAAGTGCAAAAAAAAAAAAAACCCAGCAGTGTACAGTATGGGCTTTACATACACCCAGCACGGTGTGTAATACGGGGAAGTGTGACTGCAGGCACTTCAAGACAAGCATGAGCATTCACCCTATATACACGCACTGCAAAGTATCCTTTAATCATATTTATTGCCACAGCAGATAATCCAGTCCTATAGTCGCTGGCATACACTGAGGTTGGAGTTTGCCCTCTGTGGATATGAGCACTGTTTGGCAAGCAGCAAGGAGGTCACAGCAAGCCTAGCCTGTTTAAAGTTTAGCTTACTTGGACTAAGTTTGAAAGCTCAGTTAATGGTTTGGGCAGGTATCAACAGAACTAGTACATAAAGATGATCAGCAGTGTGGTTCATCTTGAGGCCACCACACCACCGGGTCTGTCTCTGTCTGCCATGTGCACCGCTGGCAAGTTCGACATCTGCTTTGGCAAACACTACAGGAACCTCGGTTCTGTTCAGAGAAAATGTCAAAGAAAAAAAAAAGCAGGCGATACTAGCTAAAAGGTTGATCCCTGTTTCGATTGAGGCAGATGGGATAGTGTGTAAAAAAGCCAGACGAGGTGGGTTTAAACGCTTTGTTTTCTCCTTAACTCGCCATAGAAACGCGCTGTGTGTACTGTAAACTCATGTCAGCATGTTTGGGGGGGTTAGCGTTAGCATTAGCTAGCATCAACAGCAGCGCGCACAGTGTGGTAACTGTAGGGTTAGCTACCCTCAGCTAACTAAGCTAGCTAGCTAGCGTTAATCCTGACTGACCAGCTCTCTCTCTCTCTCTCCTCCTGCTGCTTGGGGCCGAGGTTTATTTTTGTCACTCTAACCCGGACTAGCTGCATCTTACCTGACAGCGGTGACTACAACAGCACGTAACGTTAAGTCTCCCCGCAGCGTGATATCATGGCACAGGATGGACGCACACACAGAAAAAAAAAAAAAAAATCAAGTCTCCACACCGCCTCCTGCTCCTTTGCTAGCTCGTGTTGGCCGTGCGCTGAGATGGGCCGGGCTACAATCGGCTTTCTCTAACAGCTGGTACATGATAAAGGATGGATCAACTGGAGCTCAACACATTAGTTCAAGGAGCAGCGTGGAAGCTGCCTCACCAAAAAAAGGTTTAATGGCAAAATTAACTTGCTGTGTATTTTTTTTAAATAGTAAAACAGAGTATTTGGAGTTTAGAAGAAGAAAAAAAAACCCTCTTGTGCTCTCTAATGATGGAGGCTATTTGTTAAGAGAAATATTTCATTCCCAACCTAACTGAGCCCTATAATAAACACACTGGTGAGAATTAAGCATATTAGGCATGAATCCAGCCTGACAGACTTTGACTCACATTTACCTGATGAGTGTCGTTCATTTTATTGGTCTTTTGCAATGCATATTACAAAATTCCTGTGTTATCTATCTTCACATTGGTTTAGCCTCACTTTTTATTGCTGTGGAAGCTTTTATTTCCCCCCCTAGGCCACACACAGCGTCCCCAAAACAAAGATCTTCAAAGTCATCATCAGGTCCCTCACACTGATACCTACCTTTCTCTTTATGTACATTCTCATGATTTATACCACCACTCAGACAGACACCAATCCTCCCTCTGTTTGCCCCCTCAGTTATCTATTCCTCAGTTTCTCGTCATGCACCGTGATTCCAGACAACAGACCAGTCGCAGTAAATGATCCTGCTTCTGTCAGGCAGCCGCATGTTCTGTGAAATGTTTGACAGCAACATATATTCTATAACTAGCCGCTCGTGGTTGTAAATAGGAAGTCAGTGCCTTCAAAATCCCCCCCCTCCTCTATTGTTTCTGCTGCATTGTTCCCTCTTTTGTCTGCGAGGAGACAACCAAGAGTCCATCACAGCCTTGCAGGACTGAACGGTGAGGCAGGTGGCCGTACATAATCGTAGCTGAAGGATGGCATAATGGGGTAATATTCCATCAGCATAAAAAAAAAAGAAGGGTGGGGAGAACAGCTTACCTGTTTGGTGAACTGGATTTAGAAGCCTGTATATCCCTCTCGGTGACCTGCTGTGGGTTGAAGTCTGCGGTTATCAGGACACCTGCAAAGTAAGCAAACGCTCCTGAGTGTCGTCACAGAACCAAGTCAAGTTTTCACGTTAAGCTTCTGTTTGGGAGCAAACCTCAAAAGTACACCGTGTCCAGCCTCCAAGTGATTTATCAGAACTAGTTGAACATATTAAACAATTACAAGGCTCATGCCAACAGCAGGAGTTCAAAGCTGCACATGTGAACCAGGGAGCGTTTAAAAATGGCCAGCTGTTTAGTTAGAAAACTGACTTTCCTTCCAAAAATACATATCCCGGTGTATCTATCCAGATTTCTGCACGCCGCTCCAGTACCCTCCCCCTTATGCTGCGTGACACACTCCAAAGGTCACAGTCACAGGAATGCTTGAAGGACAGACAGAGTAAAGCCAACACCTTGTCTTTCACTCGCACAGAGTCGGAAGTTTGGTGATAGCCGTCTGTAAATAATTAAAGGGACCACTTTTAATTTGGGGGGGAAAAAAATGACATGAAATATCACTTCAGTTTGTTGCTGAAGTCTAAATAGGATTTTTGATCCAAAGAAGATATTAAATGCAGGAGAAAAAAAAAAACACATGCAACTTTAACCTTGAGTAGCTGAATTTATAATATTATAATATGTGGGGATAAACTAGGATGCTTTGCTGTTTGGAAGTGAGCAAAACTTTATTTATTTTTTTTAGAAGTGACATTTCAATAAAAGACAATGAAAGATTTAAATGATAAAAAAACAATCTGCACATAATTCCTGAACACACTTTCTAATAACATGATCCAGTGTGTTTAAAGCTGATCGTGGTTCTGTTAGGGGGCACCAGCGCTCCTTGTCACCGGCTATGCATCACACACACACACACACACTCACACACACACACTGTACATTAAACTCAGTTTGAGGCTTTTAAATGCGGCGCACTGTGGAGACGGAGAGAACAGCACCCAGGGGTGACCTTGCCTACTGATCTCGGACCGGTGAAAGGTTAATTGCCAAAGTGGATTATACCTTAAGATCAGTGATCTCAATCCCGGTCCAGCAGGCTCGGTGATTTACAGTAGTTCAGTGTGTTAACACGGAGGGGAGGAATAACTCCGGAGATTATCATGCACATAGGAAAAAGTGGTGTGTGCAGCTGAAGAAGAAGAAGTGTTACAGGACTTTGGCTTTTTTTTTTTTTTTTAAGTGCCTTATTGTGCTGCTGCATCTTGTTCCTCCACATCTCCTGCATTTTTCATTCACTCCATAAGTGCAGCTCATTTATTAGAGGCGGCTTTTATAGGTGACAGTGCATCACACGGAGTGCTGGAGCAATTATTTAAGTGTGAACTAGTCAGCAGGGGGGGGGACGTAAGAGTGAAGCACAAGCGCCGCGCTGCACATTATTACACAATGCATGCTAACTGTTCATCGTGCCCCCTACCCCCAATAACGTGGCCGGCCGAACTTCCACTCCGGCAGCCGGCAGAACCGAATCAGGAGCACACCAGCGCTCAGACAGCTCAAAAACAGCCCGTGTGCTGGACGTAGACGGCGTGGGAGAAGAGATGATACTCACCGGGAGACGTAAAAACATCGCAGGGTTGTGTTTTCTTTTTTTTTTTCCTCCTCTCTCTCTCTCTCTATCTGAAGTCAGTCAAGTCTTTGCGGCTGGCAAGTCCACAGTCGGCTGAACTGGTTTAATGGCGCCGTCAGAGCCTCGCCGGGTTCCTCACATCTCATCACGACGCCGCCGTCGTGGACGAAGGCGATAACAACCCACCGGCGACACGGCGTCTCACCGACGGCGGTTCTGTTCCGTACGCTGGTGGCACAAATTCCCGTCTTCGGCTTCCACAACTGAGGTTGTAGTTTAATATCAGCGTCAAGGCTTTCAGGAGGGGGGAAACAGCACGTCCGGTGAGGGGGTTTCACAATAAAACTACGTCGACGTGCAACGCGTTGTAACTTCGCTTAAACGTGGACGACGCCTAAAAGCAAAACGTGCTCTAATATGACAACAATCTCCACGTTTTGCTTTAATACACCACACACTCCTCATGAACACACAGCTGCTTGTTTTTCTAATTAAACACAAGCGGGTGTTTTATTTTGACAGGCTGACTCCCGGGCTGCCGCCGCCTTCCTGCCGCTGGCTTGACGCGGCTGAGTGACGCAGCCTCGATCTCGTGCCTTTTCTCCTCCCTCTGCCTCAGTTTGCGTCCGCTGTGTGTCTCCGTTACGTCCGTACGCGCCCTCCACCCGCGTCATCGGCATTATAATATGGGCCTGCGACTCGTTAAAAAAATATGACCCGGTCCACGCTAATCCTAATGTGGTCCAGGTGCGCTCATTTAGATCCGCAGCTTTAAACGGCGCTGATTTCAGATCAAGCCGCTGCGTCGTGACACCTGACAAAAATCTGGAGATGATCCTGCGAGCGCAAACCCTCCCCCCCAACCAAAATGACAGTCACATATTGTTATATATATATGATTAAATGTGAGCCGTGTTTTACACTTTAAATCCACTTATAGCTCAGTTTTTTTGATTCTGAACTTAAATCATCACCATTGTGAGAATGGCTTTTGTAAGGATCAGATTAATTTAAATTCTGGGGCAAGCTATAAGGGGCTGCAGGAAGAACAGGTTGCATGTCTCTCCCCGCACACCTCTATGGAAAATGTAGTCATGCCGTCGGTCTTGTGACACTGACCCGGCTCACTCCAGCACTACACTATCTGGACTGGAGCCAAGAAAGAGGAGATCAGGAGATCACCGCAATGGGATGAGAAAGGGGAATAATCAAGGGATAGTAGGTTGGAGAGAAAAAGAAAAAAAGGAAAAAGCAGCTTGCCAGAATGCAATACAGTCACAATCTTTAATACAGCCGATAACTACAATTTCATGATTATTCAGTCTAACTTCGCAGCCTCCTGCTGCTCGAAATAGGCTCCCTAACATGCCTGGTAACAGCTGGCACCGAGAGACGAGAGGAGTTGACACAGAAGAGTTTGCAATCTTGTCCGGTGATTTAGAAAAATGGAATTTAAAGGGGGAAAAAAATTTTAAAAAAATCAGTGAAGAAAATGTCCTGGAAGGATTTGGATGAGTCTGTATTCCCCAGACACCCCAGCATTATCTGCCTCTAATTATAGACCAATAAACGTTGGTCCAGTCTGAACCAATAGAGTCACACTTGCGTCCCCCTCGCTGTGTCAGAGGTGCAGGACAACAGTCTTGATGTGGTCACATGGAGCCTGTGCAGCGGGCTCGGGGCTCGGGACAGGATTTTCGTGGTGCGCGCATGAGAGGAAAAACTGACGGCAGTGTCATTGCGACCTTGAAGCAAGGTCATCGAGTCTCTGCTGCAGACACTGCAATTCTGCGGGGCTGCATCACAGGCTGCTGGTGCAGAGTCTGCATTATCCGGTTGGAGGCGAAACCGGTCATGCTACAATCATTTGATCCACACACACACACACTTAGAAAATAAATTGGATTTATTTGAAGCAGAGCATGTTTTGTGATTTACTGCAGCATGAATATGCATGTGTCTTCCAAGTGTGTGGACTAATCACTGACAGCATGTGTTGGATGTGTGAAGAGCTGAAATGTAAAAACACAGTGTGAATGCAGGCTCGGGGTCCCCAGGGTGCTCCTTACAGCAGGTCGTGACCTCAGACAGGTGTCAGCTGATAGCTACATAAATACCAAGAAGCCATTGTGGCTGTGGTACACAAAAAGCGCTGCATCAGTGAGTCACAGATAACACAGCTGATAGAGGACGGTCTCAACCTTTTGCTATAAACACCTTCATCAGTATCTAATCATTTTAATTAGGCAGCGGTGGGCTGAACGCAGAGAGGGTTTGAAGGAGTTTAATTAGAAACAGCACGCCGGTCTTCAGCTAAAACAACCAGAAGTGATGCGATAGAGTCAACCGTGACCACAGATAAAAGGAGCACAAGGGGGAAATAGTTCTTAACCAAACTTCAGTGGCATTCTGCCGCCTTAAATCAGGATGTATATGATGCTGTGATGATCAAGGGTGCAAGGGTGAGATACGGGTACAAATATGGACAGCTGCTTCCCTATAAGCTGAGATCAGAGAGCCGTGACTTGAGTAATGTCTCCAGCCTAATCGAGTGTCAGCTCAGTAAAGCGACCAAATCCATTAGTGCATGTAAGTTTTGTTTAAAGTCCAAATATACTGAGTCTGCAGCACCCATTGGTCCATTAGGAAACGTCCTCATTATGGATCAGCTCTAGAATTTGTCTCCAAATGACACGAGAAGTGCAGTTTCTGTCTCTGCTGAAGAAAAGACTTTAAAGGTGGCACATGTGCAATAACATAAAAGTCATTTGAAATCTAATTTATGGTGTATTTTCCCTTTAAATTCAGCTCCGGCTTGTGCCTCAGCACTACAAACACTGTCCAGCATTCGTCCTCTAGTGGCAGTGCAGGGAACCAGCAGCGGCGGTGCTGATGACGTTATAGCAGCTGAGTGTGTGTCCTCCAGTAAAAGGTCACCCACTGCCATTGCACATCATCGCTGCCTCCTGTCTTCATGATTGCAATGCCAGAACGCTGCCTTTTCTTTATACGTATCCTGCAGCAAAAGTGTCAGATTTCCAAAGGCCAGATCAGCGCTGGCAGGGTTTCTGCTCCTTTAAAACATTCTGCTTACTCACCGCGCAAACGTGACGTCAAAAGACAGATTGCAAAATTTCAAATTTATTGGGTCACGGGCATGCAAATGGATGTGTGTTGAAATTTCAGTCAAAGACGGTTTGGATGGATTAAAGGGTTGTGTATGGTTAAATCTTGGCCACTGCATGTGTGTGTGCCATCTGCTGGTTGTGTTCAAAGAGAAAACAGTCGGCATTCATTTACTTCAAGGAGGATGAGGAGGTGGTCATTATAAATTAATACCAACTTTTGTAAATGTGATATTTTGTGACATTAAGGCTTGTTGAAAAAAATATTAAAAAATAAAAAAAATACAGACAACAAAAGACCTGAAGTCGCATTCTGCTGCTGCTGCACCACCGTGTTTGTCCTTGGTGCCATTTCCAGATTGAAACAAGCTAAGGTTTCCAGCAGAGTATCACTTACATGGTTCAACCGGGGAGCTCCAGCACATGCTAAAAAGGCCATATTGACAACCTGAAGGGCATTTATACGGTACTTCCACAATACAGTATGTGTGCTATTCAAATCTCGAGCATATACAGGCCTGCCCTGCCTCCACCAGCCTCCCTTGGCCTTATAAAAGCCGCACAGAGAATGACACACTTTTCTCTCCTGCTGTGCACAAAGTGAGGTGTGTGTTTCAGTTTACTGACAAGGTGCGTCTAATAAAGGGCTTTTTGAAAACTAGCCTCATACTTTTGTCTTTGTGATGTAGTTTGTCGCCCTGCTAGCAGCTCAGCTCCAGACAGGTGACAAATGAAAGGAGACGTAGTAGAAAGGCCCATTCTCCAACATGGATAGAGCCTAATCCTAGACTAAAAACCTTTTTCAGTGGAGGTTTTATTGAATTTATTTTAATCTAGGCCTTGGCTTAATCCATGTCTGGGAAACCCACCGAGTATCTTAGCTGCTTGTAGGGCCAACGTGTGCCGCTTCAATGCACCTCCACATTGATTCTCCAGGTCTCTGGAGCTCTGCTGGAGGGATGAACACCATTCTTCCAAAAGATGTTCCCTCATTTGGTGCAAAACCTCCCACACTTGTTCAATTACGATTGAAATCTGGCGACTGCAAAGGCATATGAGTCACATCTGATCAAACCATTCAGTGACCCCTCATGCCCTGTGGATGAGGACTAAGTCGTCCTGGAAGAGATAATCAGGATAGAGATTAATTTGCAGTGATCCTTCCATCTACAGGGACAACCAGTCCCAAACCGTACCAGTAAAATGCCGTGCACAGCATAACGGGGCCACCGGATCCCCTCCCTGTAGAGGTCACGGCTTCAGGTTTTTCCCTTAATTGGTGTGTTTGCGCTGCGATGGCGCTACACTGCGCTCCTGTTACTCTAAACGTGATTATTTTTGCTGTGAATCTAAGAACTGTTCAGACGAGGAAGCACAGAAGTGATCTCAAACCAGCTTCACCAATTCTAAGGTTATTCCTAAAAAGCCTTTTTTCCTCCTCTTGAGTTGTTGGCTGGTACCTGAAAATGTTGTTGTTTTGATACCAAATTAACACTCATTAATAAACTGTGATGACACGGATATGTTATCTAATGATGCAGTCAAAGTATCTGGTTTGGTTCTTGGAGGGACTCCGGCTGTCACCAAGAGGTGTAGCTGACGTGATTTCTCAGCTCAGTGAAATATAGATTTCCAATGTGCGTAACTGAGCCTGAACAATATTCCAGATTTTCAGAGGTGGCGCTGTGGGGTGGGCTCTGTGAAAACTGTATTTAATAACTGGTTTAGCGCTGCAAACTGACAGCTGTGTTTTTTCTTTGTGCAACTTATAACTGGATTGTTGAAAGCGGAAATATGACAGAAAATGAGGAAGAGAGAGAGAAAGATGAAGCATGATGCAAGGTTGTTTAGTTGCTAGATCCTCGTTTTCAGTGACTGTTGTGAAGAAACATTATTAACTTCAGATATATGTGAGCTTCTCCCAGTTGTGTTGGAAATATGAGCTGCTTTTCATGTCTGAAAGCTGAAGATGTGTCGCTCTCAGTGCACCAGAGAGGCGGTATTTCTACAATTCAGTAACAAAATGCTTCTAAGGCACAGTGCGGATTTAATTTTAAAAAATCTTTATTACATATATGCAATGCAGTAGGATTAATGCACCTGGCCGTCAAAAATGCAACTATTATGGTGGTATACAGGGTTTAAAAAAATCTTTTGTTACATACCAAAAAGAGCATGTTTAGTACCCGTGTAGTTGTTGGCAGGATTCGGGAGTGACTGTCTCAGACCAGAGAAACTTCTCCTCAACATGCCCTCCAAGTTTCTGACCACATGGGTTTTGGCTGCAGTGTTTGGATTAGTAAAAAGCGTGTGTACTCGTTTGGACAGAGTGGTAGTGCAATTCAGTCGTGGCCCAGTAGAGAGCAGTAACTCCTCACAAAGTAAAGGGAAACACTTGGCAGAACAATCACTTCATCATCTTTGATTGAGGCATACAAACTCACATGCTAAGAGCATTAAATGCAAACCACAAGTGGCTAAGGCTTCAGCATTTCATCTTCAGTGTCTGCGAGTAAGCAGTGTATATACACAAAGAAGCTGCCAGAGTGAGAGCTCCTCTGTCAACAATACTCCAAACACCTCATATCTCTCCAGCTGATCCTTGTGTAAGCAGCGCGGTCGGCTTCCACGTTAAGGCTTCAGTGGTAGATCCAGAACAGGCTTTGGGTTTCCGTTCGGCTGCTTCTTGTTTCCGTTGGAGCCGTTGATTTTGGGGCTTCTCTGCGGAACAGGCCTTCTGTGGCGTCTCCTCCTCGGTGGACGAGGTTTGGGTTGCGTCGGATGCAGCAGGGGATCCAAATGTACTTTCCCGCTCTGAGCGTCTGAGGACTCGTCGATAAACGCAAGATTTTCTCCAAAGTAGTCCAGAGGCTGGGACAGGTGGGGGTCTGGAGGAGCCTCCTCCTTTTCAGGCTCTGCGGGTTTTTCTTCAGGCACTCGCTCCGTCTGAGTGGCCTGAGAGTCTGTTTCTGATCCGGAACCTGACTCGTTGGAGGAGGAGGAGGAAGAGGAGTAAGATCCTGATTCCGTGTGACTCTCTTGCTGCTCTTCTTTCCCTTCAGGCGCCCCGTTAGCAGACGCGCTGTGACTGTGGCTGTGAGGGCCGTGGCGGCGCTTTCGCCGGCGTCGTTTGAAGGGGTCGTCGATTTTTCCTGGAATGCGAAAGTCCACCGACATGTTCTGAATGTTCCTGGCGTGGGCTCGCAGCTCCTCCATCTGAAAGAAGAGGATGAAGCCAGAGGTGATGGCGAGGAAGTGGTGCAGACATGATACATCAGACATAAGAGCACAGAACTTACCTCAGCTCTGGTCTTCTTAGACAGAACCCGGAGCCAGTTACCAATCATAGTCAGGATGGATGCAAAGTATGCAAGACCCAGCAGGATCCAGAACCACACCAAAGGCTTGTACCAGTGGTCGCTCCCTGCGTAGCCAGAATCCCCTTCAGCACAAACACACAGCAGCAGTGGATTAAAGCAACACATCTGTCCGTCCTTTACTATGGAGTAAATAAACAGCTAAGATAAGAGACACCATATAGCAGATGAGCTGATCAATAATTCATCTCTCACAAGAAAATCATCATGAATAATTAATGGCATTGTCCGTGCTAAGTGAACTTACTGCATTACGACTGACAGCTGTATTTATGGATGACTAATTAAGTTAGTCTAGCTACTTATCTGCCGATCAATAAATTCAACAAGAAAGTGGAAATGTGAAAAAGCGAGTGATACAAACAAATGACACTGAAACTACGAGTTCATTTCAGCAAAGAGCAGTCGTGTATTGATTGTTATATTAAAACACGACTCCTGATAGAAAGCAGTCGGCAGGGTCTTCCTAAAAAAGAAACCCTCTTTAGTGTGGATGCATGGGTTCCCTCCGGTCCGAAAAGGTGCCACTGTGGTTAACCTCGCGTCCCCTCTGGTGTGACCTCGGGCCAAAAATAAACCTCCTCTGCATGCAGAAACGGTGACGGCTGAATTAGTTATTTGGGGACTCGAGGAAAACCCAGGCTTCTGTTGCTGCCGGTGTTCCTCTGACGTAGTGTACGTTAGATTCGTCTGTTTTACTGCTTTGGATACAGAAAAATACACAATATATGACTAGATTACATGATGCAACATTATTAAGTAATTAGCAAAACCATTTAGAAATTTGTTTAAATAAGTTGCAGCATTCAATTGAGTCAATTTTGTCAATAATTATTATTGAGTAATATAATTATTCGCCTGTGTTGCTGCCACATAGTAGGCGACTTCTGATACTTTTTCTGATAATACCTCAGCAAAAGCATGATGTTTGCTTACTTAGAAGAGATTTTATTAATGGTATCTTGCAGTATTGTCAGCCAAAAGGAGCTAACAGTGCTCAAATTATTATTTTTTTGTATGTATGTGTGTGTTTTGTTTTTTTCACAAGTGAAAACAGGGATGTCAAGCTAATGCAGCAGGGACACTATGTTTATATGATGCTGCTCCTGAGAGAGTTTTGGGATTAAATCTAGAGGCTGCAAACTATTACAGGAGCATTTCTTGGTATATTTGATTAAAGTCTTCCCAACAGCAGTCAGAAATCCAGCACTCTGATAACAACAACAAAAAAAAAATCTGTTATCTGTGGCAGTAACGTGCACATAAAGACTTCATTCAATCGGTTTGCATGAAATAACTGGAAGTCCTATCTGTCCGTCTAATTTCGTACACATTACTAGCATGGAGATAGAGTTTATGGCAGACAACGTGCACCCACATGGTTCAGTTCCACCTAAATCTGCAGCATCTTGCACTGCTGCACAAAGCAACAGCAGCAGAAAACCCAAAAAGTTTGGATAAAGCGGGAGGTCAAATCCAAGTCGTTTCTACTCTGGCGACAGCTGCAGGAGTGAAAAGGCCTGAAGGGCGACACCATGCATGGCTGCTCCTTCTTTTTTGTTGTCTGGTTTGTTTTGTTTTGTGAGGGGATGGGTTATGGGGTTATAGTAAATAAAACATTATATTTTCAGCTTGAATGCATCGTGCTCCATCACCAGATCCACCAGATCTCTCTGTGGTGGATTAGTCCTCCCGCTGGACTCAGGCGTTGTGTCTCAGTGGCTGAGGAGGAAAACCTAAAGGTGGTTTCTTTCTACAGTCATGCATACTCTGGATTTAATGCTTTACTTTCCCAGTGTGCTGGGTCTGTGTTTGCAGAATGGCGCAATGCATTTAAGTTTGAACACCAGAGTTTTAGCAACAAGCATGCTTATATTCAAAGGGCTTTTACTATATAAAGGTATATAAATGAAAACATGTTAGAATGGGTATGAATTATTATTACTATTTTGAATCCGAACAGTTGAGTCCACCTCTGAGAAAAGGTTTTTCATTTCTACCCTTCTCTCTCAGGTTGTCTGTGCACACCTCTGGGAACTTTGTCAAGAAATGCAACGTATGTGGTTTGTATACCTGCAACGTAGTCCCCAAACCCCACCGTGGTCAAGGTGATCACCACAAAGTAGGCCGACTCCAGAAGGCTCCACTGCTCCACCTCTTGAAAAACCAGGATCGGCACGGCGACGAAGAGCAGGCAGCCAAGCAAGATGGACAGGACAGCTGAGATCACGCGCACGATGGTGGGGCTGACCCGCCATTTCTGGAACAACACAGCAGGATGTGACACATGCAGGAAAACACGACAATTAAACAAGACGTGCAAATCTCGGATTAAAGGGTCCGACCAGGAAGAGAGTCTCTATTTTGGCAACGGCTTTCCTCAGCCCGGTACCCAGATGGTCTCCGACTCCGGCGAGCAGGATGCCAAACATTGGGATTCCCACCAGGGCGTAAAAAATGCAGAACAGCTGCCCTCCTTCTGTCTTAGGGGAGATGTTTCCAAAACCTGGACATGTGGGGACATGAGGTGGAAGAGCAGGTGATTTCAAAACACAAACAGACGTCATCATGATTTGAAATGATGTTTTACTGGAAACCCACCGATGGTTGTGATGATGGTCCCTGAGAAAAAGAAGGCACTGGCCAGATCCCATTTGCTGACAAAGGTAGTGTTGCCCGTAGGATCCACGCCGACGCCGACGGCATCCACCACCTCCTGGAATGGGCCAGTGGAGAAGAGTTTACCGACCGGTTAAGATATTAAACACTTCAGCGATCGATATTTATGTGGACAGTAAAAACAGAGGTTGTTGATTTCAAATTGTGTGAGTGAGTTTATTTCTGGCGCGGTGCGGAAAATGCATTGTCACGATCAAAAGCAGGCGAGGCGGTGACTAAGACTGTGAAGGCTCCATTCTGTCCCAAGCATATCGAACCACTGCCAGCACAGATAATCTAATTCCCTGATCCGATTATCTGTTTTGTGTCGATTGGCGCTCCGAGGCATTCGTTAACTAATTTAAATCTGAGTATGATGAAGTTATGTATTAACGCGGTCTCCATAGACGTTATTGAATCCAATAAATTAGAAGTTTATGATTCTGGAGATCATGAACTTCTGCCTCCTCGTCTGCTGGACCGAAGCCTCCGAGCGCAGCATCTGTCCCGACGGATTTGGGAGATACTGAACTTCTAATGCTTTCCGATTGTGTTTGTGCATTAACCCTCTAAACCCCACGCAGTATGTGGGAGGTTGCTGTTTTTTTGTCTTGTCACATTTTTTTTCCAATACAAAGTCCTGCACTTCTATGAAAACAGCACAACCATGACCAGAAGACGACAGAACTTACAATGTTTTTGGTTTCAACACACTTACTATGCCGTAAATCATGAAAAAGAAAATAATTATTGAAAGAAAGATTATTCATTTCTCAAAAAAAAAAAAAAACATGTGCAGCATTTTTCCAACAGATGTTCCCGTTACCATAAAAAATAAAAAATAAAAAATAAAAATGTTGGTGTACATACTGTAGGTATTTTACTGCTAACATATTTACAACTCTACTCTGCATATCAGCTCTAGAAAGATATTTAGCGGCGCTGAATACCAACAACTCGCTCCTCTGTCGACCGTTTTTGAACAACGCTGCATTTGTCTTATTTTTTTATTTTCCTCGAGCCACTCACGGCTTCTCGGTTGAGCCTTGAGGCAGATTATTTCAGTTTGAATCTGGAGCAAGCAGTTTATTTTTTGATTATTTTTTAAAATAAACATGTAGAACAAAGACATTTTGATAAAATATTACGTTGTCAAGCTAATATTTGTCGGATTTTGATGACAAAACCGCACATCACGTATGATTATTTCACGGACTGCCGCACAGTTTCTAATGTGATAAATGAAGTAATACTGGCAATTTTAAAAAAAGACAATTTCATTGCTGGGTTTTAATATTCAGAGGGTTCATTGAAAGTTCCTAGTTAGTTTCAGCATGGTCAATAGTTTGGCTGTAACACATAAAACGTTGGATAACATAAACTGTGTGCATACTTATCTGCATTTTAGTAAATACAAGAAAACACTACAGTGAGGTTGTGCGTCTAAAATTGGTAGAAATATGATAATAGAAGCTATTTTCAATCCTTTGATGGCTCAAGTTAAACTAGAAGAATTCGGGGTCAAAGGGTTAAATTATGAGGTTAGTCATGAGCGCCTCAGTACCAGCTGGTGTACTCATGGTGATAATGCACATTACTGCACAGCCAAATAACCAAATCCCAATAAAACACACCAGCTCCACAGCAATATCTATCCACGTAAGTGTTTAATTCTGCACTTTTAGTACGCTACAGAGAGGAACTTCAAGTTTAATAAAGTGAAAATATACTGTTTTTGCTCGTGTGAAGAGAGAGTTGGTATTTCAATTAATCAATTGATATGTTTAGTCATTTTCAGAATTAAAATAAATTCAAAACAGATCATGGAAAAACAAGCACACCCGTACATTTCTCACACCTTAAAATTAGAACCACAGGTTCCAGATTAGGTGCCAACGATTGAAGCCTTCTTAGAGAACAGGAGGTGGAACTCTGACCTTGGTGACTGAAGACTGAATGAGGTACATCATGCTGAGATACAAGGAGCTCTCTTAGGCCTTCACAAGAAACAGTTTTGGATGTCAAAGTGTCTGACAAGGGATTTAATAAGATCTTCAAGTTATTTGCAACGAACCATTTTGCTGTAAATAGAACCAACTATATGTTTGTTCAGAACTGGGTAAGACGATCCAAATCCTGTTTTTAGTCTCTCCACATAAGTCAAAATATAATTCACAATTTTTTCCCCCCATTAACTCTGTTGACTTTTTAGGGCTACAGTTGCAACACAGATAAAAGAAAAGCCCCACAAGCGAGGCAGTTTTGCCTTTACACCAACCACCAGGAGTAGCTGTGCACCAAGTAAAAACTCTTCTCCAGATCCCCCAAGCAATGGGTCAAAAAGAACTTTCACAAATACATCAAAAAGCCATTTTCACATGACTGCAGTCGCTCATGAATGTTTCCTCAACATCAACCACATCCATAGCCGGTGGTAGAGCCGAACAAGATGTTCTCGTAAGTCTCGTGTGATGTGTGACATCTCTCATGACTCCAAGAACAGACTGTAGCAGGAAGGAACCGTGAATCTACTGAAGGTCTGTCGTAACGTCTGACATTAGTGAAGTGAAACCTGACCCACAATGGTGACTTGTTGCGCAGAACACCATCTGAAGAATGGCTTTGTAACAGCTGTCAGGTTCACTCATGAATAAGAAGACTAAGTGCGTTGCATTGTATTCCATGTGTTCGTGTTTTTATTAGAGAGCCGCAAGCACATTCAGACTATTCTTAACCTGTACCCTATTCTAGCTATCCTCAAATCACTGACTGTACACTGTAATAATGAGGTTTAACATTACATAATGGCATATTTTATTACACTACAGTGGTGCTGTTAGGTCTTCTCATCAATCACATGACTCACACCTCCTCGTCTGCCACCAGATTTAGCCAGTTAGCTTCTGTTAGCCAAAGCAGCAGCAGTGCAGTGCTAAAGTTATTGTACATTTAGCTGCGGCTGTAAAGAAAAAGGAACTAACGTCTTCTTATATTTATTTAGCGTAACAGGAACGTGCTTGCTGCCTGCCTAGCTGCCTGCACAAACCAACAGGTGGAAGCTAACAGCCAGGTTCCCTAACAGGCCCAGTTAGCCTGCTAGCTAGTAGCGTTAGCAGTCGTGGTATTAAAGTTAAAGCGGTTCAGTTAAAATATCAGTGTACAGTGTTTATTTACAGCTGAAACTCGCAGTTGGTTATTGTAGAATAAGTCTCCTGTAAATGTTGTTCTAGCTAGCAGGAGCTAACTGGCTAAATTTGGCTGTTAGCTGTTGAGCTTAAAAGATAAACACACAGGAATTATACTTGTGCAATCTTTAGTTTGACCTCAATATTGTTCAGTAATTCGACTGATTTAAGTATGTTATCTGTATTTTCATTATTTATTTTGAACCATATGTAGAGGAACTTTTGAACAAGCCAATAATACCATTTTAATGTCTGCCAACAATGCATGCTTTAGTGTATAGTATGAGTTTTTACAAGTCTGGACCACTTCACATTCAGCATAGTTGCAATGGAAATTCTACATTCTTTATTTTAGTTCTTTACTAAAATAATGGATGGATGGATGGATGGATGGATGGATGGATGGATGGATGGATGGATGGATGGATGGACATTAACCCTCTAGAGCCCGAGCAGTTTCTAGGTTGTTTTTTTGCTGTTGTCATATTGTTACTCACTGTCAGCCATTTTTATTTTTATTTTTTTTACTACAATATAAAGTCCTGCACCTCTACTGAAACACCACAACCAACGCTAACAGTATAGAGAACTCATAAATCATCACACAAAGAAAAAAGACAAAAATATAGTTTCTATATAACACCTGGAATCAACATGTACAACATTTTTCCAACCACAATACCGGAAAAAAATGGTGACTACACAGATTAGATATTTTACCACTGACACCTTTAATCTGTTTCTATACTCGTCTCTTGTCTGCTCAGTGTACACAGACTGCAGTTCAGCTGAAAAGTCGCCTGAATTTTTCATTTCAAAATACTTTTTTTAACGACGTCGATACTTTAACATGAAATATCCTGATTTTAAGCTTCGATTTGGTTGTTCCTGAATGGAACGTATGTCATAGATGAGTAGTTCAAGGACCAAAAAGAGGTGATTCTTTGTGTTTTAGCAGTTTCTGGCTCGGATTTTTTTTAAAAAGAAAAAAGAAAACATGCCTTTCACACCCACTGGTAGGTTCAGGGGTTCAAAGGGTTAATATTATATTTCACTTCTGGTGCTCGGCATGTTAATCCTTCGCATGTTTCAAATAACTGAGCGCTCTCAGATGTGAAAGTTTGTCTCTCATCCTCTTGTTTGTGCCAGGAAGCTGGTTTGACCCGGAGGCCTTGGAGGGCACAGGAGCAATATCTTGTTTCTTGAAGGTGTAAATCAGAGAGAGCCCAGTTTCATCGGAGGAGGAGACACAAATACTTCCGTGGGAGCCTTGTGCTGCCTCTTTAGTGGATAAAGCTCCTTCTAACAGTGAGGCAAGTCCAACAGAGAGGAACCACCCAACTTTTCTTCCTCTACTGGGAGGCGGTAATATATACAATAAGATTAAGTGTGAGTTTATATCTTTGCCTCTTGTCTGAGGAAGGTGCAAGTCATGTGTGCTTACTTTGGGGTTCAGATCCAGTGAAGTCAAGCAGCGTGGGTGAAGCTGTGTACGATGAGAAAGTTTTGCCAAATGCAGGTTGTCCAGGATGGTTCAGAACTACCCTTGCATGCATGCTTCAAGTGCAGGATCTCAATAAATATTCATTACACCAGGGAGCACAGTCACCCCACGATGCCCCCGACTAAAGCCAAACAGAGCGAATTTGCTTCCTGGAGGAACAAGCAGGACGATTAGGTCCACTACGTCTGCACTGTCTCACAGTTTTATTAAGTAGTGAGTAATTAGCCCCTTTTCTTTATATTTTGACCGTCCTTCAGTCTTGTTCAGCAAAAGCTCCAACAGCTGACTTGGGTCCAGCCTAAATTGTTTCCGTTCATTTGGCTGTTTGTGCTTTTTAATTAGGAGGCCTGCATCGGGCTGAACAATGAGCCAACGGTCCTTCTTCTTAGATTAAAACTATCTTGAAGTGAGAATGATCCAGTCTTACCCATAAGAGTGTGTCTATTCCTATCTTTGTGCCTCTGTGACGAAGAGATGGTGACTATATTTCACATTTGTCCTGAATCGATGACACTAATCTTGGCTGCCCACCTCGAAGCTCTGCTAATCGTATAGATCTTCTGTTCTGCTTCGTTGAACATCTGTGGAAAGCATTGAGGATTTGTGGCCTCTTTGCAGCAACATTTGGAGCTTCGTTTGCTGGCATGGCGACAACTTTATGCTTTATGTTC